CTCTCCCTCTCTAGTCCGGCAAATTTTTTGGACTGCTCAACTCCTCTCAGCTCACTGCAGAGGATAAAGAATGTATGGCTATGAATACTGTTCGATTGAATGTTTTCAATGTGATGCTGCACTGTTTGTGTCCAAATATCAGTTGCTTCTTGGGTTAGATGTGTTTCCCATCACGCGTTGGTGTTAGTGTATCATTAAGCTAGAGCAGTAAAGGCTAAAATGTGTTTGTTTTAAATACGGTACACAATATGTAACTCTCAAAGTTTTGTTTAGTTTGACAGCAATCTTCAGATGAGATTGGCAATTTTATCAGCCAGTTAAGTGATTTTTTTTTCAGATACTGTAGTAAATTTTGGATTTTCTTTTCTACGGCACGTACACATGGCACTTGTTCTTTGGCCAACAGTCGAGTTAGCGGCTGTGCATGGTGTTTTTTTTTTTAAATCAGAGATGCAAGTTAACTTTTCCACTCTGCAATTGAGATATAATCACAAAAATAAAATCAGGAAATACTTCACTCCGTGTCGTGACTATATTAGTTCACTTTTTAAATTGAACCATGGTACTGAAATGAAGTACAAGCTTCACAATATCCGAATGTATTACGATGCGACAATTTAACACTGGAGAACCCTAGAACCTTTTTCTTCTTTGGAAAATTATGAATTATACATTAAATGACTGCGATATGTTCACTAAACACCACAAGTTATATTGAATGTTTTCAATGTGATGCTGCACTGTTTGTGTACAAATATCCGTTGCTTCTTGGGTTAGATGTGTTTCCCATCATGCGTTGGTGTTAGTGTAGCATTAAGCTAGAGCAGTAAAGGCTAAAATGTGTTTGTTTTAAATACACAATGTGTAACTCTCCTGGTGTTAGTGTAGCATTAAGCTAGAGCAGTAAAGGCTAAAATGTGTTTGTTTTAAATACGGTACACAATATGTAACTCTCAAAGTTTTGTTTAGTTTGACAGCAATCTTCAGATGAGATTGGCAATTTTATCAGCCAGTTAAGTGATTTTTTTTTCAGATACTGTAGTAAATTTTGGATTTTCTTTTCTGCAATTGAGATATAATCACAAAAATAAAATCAGGAAATACTTCACTCCATGTCGTGACTATATTAGTTCACTTTTTAAATTGAACCACAGTACTGAAATGAAGTACAATCTTCACAATATCCGAATGTATTAGGATGCGACAATTTAACACTGGAGAACCCAAGAACCCTTTTCTTCTTTGGAAAATGATGAATTATACATTAAATGACTGCGATATGTTCACTGAACACCACAATATATGTTTATTCAAATATTCAATGCTTTAATCCTAATTTAGGATTAGGGGCAAATTTGACCCTTTTGGATTTAAGGGTGGCATTTGAGAAGCAGAATTTATAGATGCCATATTTGATATTTTGGGTTCTCCTGGGTTTAAGAGCATCTTTTTTATTTGAGGCGCAGTACGACAACCTTGAGTACTCAGATGAGATTGGCAATTTTATCAGCCAGTTAAGTCATTTTGATAATTTTTTTTTAATGTGGTGTGCTAATTTCTTCAGATACAGTACTAGTAAATTTGTGATTTTATGTTGTGAGGTGATTTTTTTTCAGATACTGTAGGAAATTTTGGAAATTTTTTTCCTGCAATTGAGATATAATCACAAAAATAAAATCAGGAAATACTTCACTCCATGTCGTGACTATATTAGTTCACTTTTTAAATTGAACCACAGTACTGAAATGAAGTACAATCTTCACAATATCCGAATGTATTAGGATGCGACAATTTAACACTGGAGAACCCAAGAACCCTTTTCTTCTTTGGAAAATGATGAATTATACATTAAATGACTGCGATATGTTCACTGAACACCACAATATATGTTTATTCAAATATTCAATGCTTTAATCCTAATTTAGGATTAGGGGCAAATTTGACCCTTTTGGATTTAAGGGTGGCATTTGAGAAGCAGAATTTATAGATGCCATATTTGACATTTTGGGTTCTCCTGGGTTTAAGAGCATCTTTTTTATTTGAGGCGCAGTACGACAACCTTCGGTAGTTAATTCTCAATGTGAATGGTATGCGGTCTCCCTCCTGTGGTACGGGGAAAGAATCACTGAAGTGTTCAAACTGCTCATTTTGTCACTAGCTTCATCTTTTGCGAATTACGATGACTTCTTTTTCACGTAAAGTACAATAAATTTATCTGTAATCTTTTCGGAGTGTCATTTTCCCACTGTGACTTTGACTGTATAATCTATAGAAGGGTCGCCCCTCACTGTGCGCAAGTCGTGACTATATTAGTTCACTTTTTAAATTGAACCACAGTACTGAAATGAAGTACAATCTTCACAATATCCGAATGTATTAGGATGCGACAATTTAACACCTAACTCCTGCTGCACGTTTATGTCCGTTTAGTAATTACGGACGTTCTTTTACAAACTCCCACGTGCCTATATATATTGAAAGTCTTCTAAACATTTAGATTTACCGTTGGTCATCATACCTACGAATGGCTTCGATGCTGTCAAACTACACAGCGTTTTATGTAGAAACCTGATCCCAACACATTCAGTCGGACAGTAAAACGGATGAAGTCCAGCATTCCGAGCAGTCACTGAACGCAACACGCGCAACACCTCGCTTACATACGACCTAGCGAGCGTTACGTTCCAGCTGCAACTCCTCCCAAGCGCGACGTTCGCGCATGTTGAAACGAGCGATCACCAGCGCCGGCTGTATGCTTCTGTGCAATTACATAATCTACCCGTGCAACTGCTGAAGACACAAAGTGCGTTGCTGACAACTAGTGGACATTGTGGTGTAAGTCAGGTCTAATGTGAACAAAAAACGTGACACACCCACAGAAATCAGTTATTTATTCCCCCCCACATTTGGTACAGATGAATCCAACAAATTTTCAGTGTGGTGTGATCAATCCCAAAAAGTGTCAAACTGCGTGGATTTTGTCGTCAGTACCACTTGAAACAGATCCAAACCTCCCCAAATTCCGACAAAATTGAGAGGCATTACAAAGTTTGGAAAACAATTTTAAATCTTTTTTTAGTGAAGCTTTCAAAACACTGAACGTTTATTACACAGCCTCCAATGTCTTCACAAAGTAACTTTCCCTGTTAAGTTACGAAATCTTTAACACAGCCTCCAAAGTCTTCACAAAGTAACTTTCCCTGTTAAATTATGAAATCTTTACGACTACTTTTCCAGGACAGTCACATGAACTGGATTAAAATTGCGTTGCGCAACTACGATGACTTCTTTTTCACGTAAAGTACAATAAATGTATCTTTAATATTTTCGGAGTGTCATTTTCCCACGGTTACTTTGACTGTATAATCTATAGAAGGGTCGCCTCACTGTGCGCAAAGATTTTGTTCAAGTGTATTTCCCTAACTCCTGCTGCACGTTTATGTCCGTTTAGTAATTACGGACGTTCTTTTACAAACTCCCACATGCCTATATATATTGAAAGTCTTATAAACATTTATATTCACCGTTGGTCATCATACCTACGAATGGCTTCGATGCTGTCAAACTACACAGCGTTTTATGTAGAAACCTGATCCCAACACATTCAGTCGGACAGTAAAACGGATGAAGTCCAGCATTCCGAGCAGTCACTGAACGCAACACGCGCAACACCTCGCTTACATACGACCTAGCGAGCGTTACGTTCCAGCTGCAACTCCTCCCAAGCGCGACGTTCGCGCATGTTGAAACGAGCGATCACCAGCGCCGGCTGTATGCTTCTGTGCAATTACATAATCTACCCGTGCAACTGCTGAAGACACAAAGTACGTTGCTGACAACTAGTGGACGTTGTGGTGTAAGCCAGGTCTAATGTGAACAAAAAACGTGACACACCCACAGAAATCAGTTATTTATTCCCCCCCCCCACATTTGGTACAGATGAATCCAACAATTTTTCAGTGTGGTGTAATCAATCCCAAAAAGTGTCAAACCGCGTGGATTTTGTCGTCAGTACCACTTGAAACATAAACTGCTTTCTCTGTTGGTTAAAAAAAAAATTACAACTATTTGCTGTATCATGACAATATGGAAACGGGTTCTTAATCATTGGCCGATGATGGTTGATAATCTTCATTTAAAATCAATGTGTTACTGCACTAGATTAAATTATTTAGATTTGACTGAAAACCATCTTGTCATGTCTTAGTTACTTCAACTTCAAAAGGCAAAGTTGTCTTTCTTGTGAGTAGAAGTAGCATGTGTAAAACAATTAAAAAAAAAAAAAAAATCAAGCCAGTTTACAAGTGAAAGGGGGACATCAGCAGGTCTTGTGGCCACTGTGACACCTGTTCATTGTATCCATTGGCCCATCGCTCTTCCGCAGGACTCAAGGAGCGCCTTGCAGCGTGCGAGATACCGAGTGGGATCCAGGCTCCCTTCTCGGCAGCCAGTGGCTCTCTCGCCATCCGTATTTATTTATTTAAATTTTTTTGCATCCCATTTGAAGACCTGAGCGGTGTAGGTTTGAGCCCTCCGTGACAAACACGTCATCTTTTTCAGCGGAATTCATAGATGGGAATACTGTGCTCTCGGACGTGGCTCAGGTTGAGTGACTGATACCTGGAAGAAGGTGGTGGCGGGGGGAAGAGAGAGAGAGAGAGAGAGGTTTAAAAACACTGTTTGATAGTTCTTTGATTTGCTCTCAACTAATTTTCAACACTTTAAAAATTGTGGGAAAAAAACTGATAGATCAACACTATTTTTGACAACACAACACAATTTTGTTTGCGTGGGTTTTCTCCGGGTACTCCGGTTTCCTCCCACATTCCAAAAACATGCATGGCAGGCTGATTGAACACTCCAAATTGTCCCTAGGTGTGAGTGTGAGCGTGGAAGCTTGTTCGTCTGTGTGTGCCCTGCGATTGGCTGGCAACCGGTTCAGGGTGTACCCCGCCTACTGCCCGAAGACGGACGTGTGAACAAAAAACGTGACACACCCACAGAAATCAGTTATTTATTCCCCCCCACATTTGGTACAGATGAATCCAACAAATTTTCAGTGTGGTGTGATCAATCCCAAAAAGTGTCAAACTGCGTGGATTTTGTCGTCAGTACCACTTGAAACAGATCCAAACCTCCCCAAATTCCGACAAAATTGAGAGGCATTACAAAGTTTGGAAAACAATTTTAAATCTTTTTTTAGTGAAGCTTTCAAAACACTGAACGTTTATTACACAGCCTCCAATGTCTTCACAAAGTAACTTTCCCTGTTAAATTATGAAATCTTTACGACTACTTTTCCAGGACAGTCACATGAACTGGATTAAAATTGCGTTGCGCAACAACTTTCCTGCCGCAAAAATGACGACGCAACTGGAATGTGACGTTACGTGACTGAATTTCAAAAAAACCTTAAAAAAAACCTTCATACTGTAAACTGCTTTCTCTGTTGGTTAAAAAAAAAATTACAACTATTTGCTGTATCATGACAATATGGAAACGGGTTCTTAATCATTGGCCGATGATGGTTGATAATCTTCATTTAAAATCAATGTGTTACTGCACTAGATTAAATTATTTAGATTTGACTGAAAACCATCTTGTCATGTCTTAGTTACTTCAACTTCAAAAGGCAAAGTTGTCTTTCTTGTGAGTAGAAGTAGCATGTGTAAAACAATTAAAAAAAAAAAAAATCAAGCCAGTTTACAAGTGAAAGGTGGACATCAGCAGGTCTTGTGGCCACTGTGACACCTGTTCATTGTATCCATTGGCCCATCGCTCTTCCGCAGGACTCAAGGAGCGCCTTGCAGCGTGCGAGATACCGAGTGGGATCCAGGCTCCCTTCTCGGCAGCCAGTGGCTCTCTCGCCATCCGTATTTATTTATTTAAATTTTTTTGCATCCCATTTGAAGACCAGGGCGGCGTGAATTTGAGCCCTCCGTGACAAACACGTCATCTTTTTCAGCGGAATTCATAGATGGGAATACTGTGCTCTCGGACGTGGCTCAGGTTGAGTGACTGATACCTGGAAGAAGGTGGTGGCGGGGGGAAGAGAGAGAGAGAGAGAGCGGTTTAAAAACACTGTTTGATAGTTCTTTGATTTGCTCTCAACTAATTTTCAACACTTTAAAAATTGTGGGAAAAAAACTGATAGATCAACACTATCAATTTTGCGTGGGTTTTCTCCGGGTACTCCGGTTTCCTCCCACATTCCAAAAACATGCATGGCAGGCTGATTGAACACTCTAAATTGTCCCTAGGTGTGAGTGTGAGCATGGATAGTTGTTCATCTGTGTGTGCCCTGCGATTGGCTGGCAACCGGTTCAGGGTGTACCCCGCCTACTGCCCGAAGACGGACGGCTGGGATAGGCTCCAGCACGCCCTACGATCCTTGTGAGGATAAAGCGGATCGGAAAATGGATGGATGGATGAAGATGTGATGAGAACTCAATAGCTAGGTTACTAAATATTGTATAGTTCATAAGTGGAAGCACAGCTTCACAGTTTGTGGTTCGAATCTCAGCTCGGGAACCTGTACTTGCTTTACTTTGCTAATTATACTGGCCATCCATCCTAATTGTTTTTTTTCATTGATGTTGAAAGCAAAATAAGCCTAGTGTTATGACTGACCATTCCGAGCTCCTGTGGTAGTAGTAACCCTCAATCCTTCATACTGTAAACTGCTTTCTCTGTTGGTTAAAAAAAAAATTACAACTATTTGCTGTATCATGACAATATGGAAACGGGTTCTTAATCATTGGCCGATGATGGTTGATAATCTTCATTTAAAATCAATGTGTTACTGCACTAGATTAAATTATTTAGATTTGACTGAAAACCATCTTGTCATGTCTTAGTTACTTCAACTTCAAAAGGCAAAGTTGTCTTTCTTGTGAGTAGAAGTAGCATGTGTAAAACAATTAAAAAAAAAAAAAAAATCAAGCCAGTTTACAAGTGAAAGGGGGACATCAGCAGGTCTTGTGGCCACTGTGACACCTGTTCATTGTATCCATTGGCCCATCGCTCTTCCGCAGGACTCAAGGAGCGCCTTGCAGCGTGCGAGATACCGAGTGGGATCCAGGCTCCCTTCTCGGCAGCCAGTGGCTCTCTCGCCATCCGTATTTATTTATTTAAATTTTTTTGCATCCCATTTGAAGACCAGGGCGGCGTGAATTTGAGCCCTCCGTGACAAACACGTCATCTTTTTCAGCGGAATTCATAGATGGGAATACTGTGCTCTCGGACGTGGCTCAGGTTGAGTGACTGATACCTGGAAGAAGGTGGTGGCGGGGGGAAGAGAGAGAGAGAGAGAGCGGTTTAAAAACACTGTTTGATAGTTCTTTGATTTGCTCTCAACTAATTTTCAACACTTTAAAAATTGTGGGAAAAAAACTGATAGATCAACACTATCAATTTTGCGTGGGTTTTCTCCGGGTACTCCGGTTTCCTCCCACATTCCAAAAACATGCATGGCAGGCTGATTGAACACTCTATTGTCACTAGTTTTTTCTTCCCCCCCAATTTTGCTGCTGTAGACTGCAAATGTCCCCAGTGTGGGACAAATAAAGGTTATCTTATCTTATCTCCCCCCAACTGCCCGAAGACGGACGGCTGGGATAGGCTCCAGCACCCCCTGCGATCCTTGTGAGGATAAAGCGGATCGGAAAATGAATGGATGAAAATGTGATAAGAACTCAGTAGCTAGATTACTAAATATTGTACAGTTCATAAGTGGAAACACAGCTTCACAGTTCGGGGTTCGAATCTCAGCTCAGGAACCTGCGCTTGCTTTATTTTGCTAATTATACTGGCCATCCATCCTAATTTCTTATTTTCATTGATGTTGAAAGCAAAATAAGCCTAGTGTTATGACTGACCATTCCGAGCTCCTGTGGTAGTAGTAACCCTCAATCGTGGCTGTGGACTTCTGGAAGCAGATGTAGTAAAAGCCTGCAAAGGACGCACCACTGATGTCCTTGATGGTATGATCGGGGACCAGGAACTGCTCCTTTGGGTGCGGAAAACATAAAAGACAGACTCAGAGTGCAAAGTTCACAACCGGAGGAAAATGTACATAAATAAATAAATTAATTAATAAAACTTAGGACTGACTTTCCATCTCATGAAGACGTAATCGCTGCGTTCCAGTGCGTCGTAGTCAAAATCGTCAGAGTTGAAGCTTTTGGCGACTTTAAAAAAAGCCTGAAATTTGCCCTGCAAACAAAAAAAAAAAAAGGCCATTCAATCAAAGTCAAACTGCAATAAAACTGTGAAGTTCTTGCTGGAGGTCATAGGTCATAAAGACTTACCCAATGTTTCCTGTCCACGTCCTCATCAGCATCCCACTTCCTGGTTAAAAAAGGCCTCTTTCGACTTATGATTTCACCAGCAAAGAATGTTGTGAGCGTCGGATACTCCTGGTTGCACAAATTTGAAGAAATTGTCAAGGAAAGGGGCGGATGGGGAATCTGTCACGCATGTGTCGATTTGTTAGTTCACGAAAGCTAACAAAATAACAAAAATAAATAAATTGTAACAGAAGCAAAAATGCTCAAAAAAATACATCATACACTCACAGAAACTACATTTCACTTACAAAAACTTAAATGATAGCGAAAAATGTCCCCTTTTTTTTTTGTCTATGTCAATTTAATAAATGAACCTTTGCTGTAGATTTTAAATGCGTACAGCATGGCCTTCAGACGTAAGGTCGAAAACTTGTCTGGCAGTTGTGGTCCTTTCACTAGCCTGTATATTGTGTTACGTGTGGAACACATCAGCAGAATTCAAGCCACAAATCCACTTCAGAAGTTGGCAACTCTGCAAACAGGGGATGGAAAGGGAGACCATCCTAGCTAGACCTTTGAGTGGTAGATGCATCTAACTTTAGACGCAGTATGGTGCACTGCACTTATGGTACTTCAAAGTCTGCAGACTGATAAACAGGATCTCTATTTGATTCATAGATGTTTTTAAAAATTTTTTTGTGTTGACATTTACGACATATTACTTATCATAATGTTCTCTTAAAATGTTGCACACATGAAATTAAAAAAAACTCCAAAACAAAAAACACCCTAATAAGAACTCAAGTGAAAAGAAGCAGACCCAGTCTGAAACAAAGTAAACTCAATTCAAAAAGAAAAACTCAAAATGAAATAAAAACGAACTACAATGAAAATTCCAAAACTACTGCAACTCTGGTTGCTACCCAATTTTTCACTTTTATTGCTTCTTTTTATTTTTTTTTAACAACAACAGAAAATATAAGATTGGAGAAATGAGAGCAAATATGACTTCCCTTTGCGGCAGTAAACACACCACGTCAAATTAGATCCGCAACCTGACCTGCTGACATGTTTCCACGGCATTTAGCTTCACCCTTGAACATTCTGCTCCCCTTTACAACCCCGCCTCGTCAAGGTATTACATAATGAAATGGAGGGACACTTGTCTGAGACATTCAGGTCACCACTGCAGTGCAGACCTCAAAATAAGCTCTGCGGCCTGCAGTGAGTCCCCAAATGTAATGACAACTCCCCCCTTGATCTCGGCCCAACATTCCCACTCACTTGCCTCAGTCAGGCCGCTGATCTTCAGATATCCACACAAATAGGAATCCTCCGGAGTCACATGCTACAAAACAAAATAAATACATATTTTTTTGGGTCAAATTTGACATGAGAGAACTAAAAACATGCTACCAAGCAAGGTCAAGCAGCATTCTATTTTTTTTTTTTTACTACGCTCCTCAACTGCAGAAAAAAAAAACTTCTCTGGATCTGCTCAAATGTTCAGTATATCTGTATCGTTGACCCAAAATATTTTATTATTCCCTGCTTTGATTTTGTGATTTCAACGTTATCCGTTTTGGAAACATTTTTCAATTCCTCTCCCATCATTTGAAAACAGAACATTTTATCAGACTGACAGTGCAGACAATGCACAAATTGATCGTTATTCATTTACTGTTTTGGTGCGTAACAAATTGTTTATCACTTTTTTTTCTGAAGTTAAAAGCAGATGTTTGATAACAGAAAAATAAGAATATTTATGGTTGGGAGGAGATTTGGACATTTTAACTCAAACAGGCTTTTAAATGACTAATCTTTGTAATAAAATCTCAATTCTGCATTCATTTCTTACGACATAGGTTTCTGTATTCACACTTTTAGTCTTTTCCCACATCCAGAAATTTACATTTGATGTGTTTTAGCTTTATTTCCCTCCTTGCGCTTGTTTTAAATCGTGCAAATGAAATAAACCAGTCAATAGTGTCGATTAATTCGATAATCGCCGAGATGTCGATTAATCCAGTAATTGTTGCAGCTCTATTGCAAAGTTTTAGTTAAATGTAAAGTTGCAACGAAAGATATTAAACTTTGGATATCTATTTTATAATTGACATTTCAAATGTCACACCCGCGTCCAACAGGTCAACAAAGTAGGTCAGTGTAGTAGTATTGCATGTCAACGTCGACGTGCCAAGTAAGCTACCGTACGTCGCATATCAAGCTAAAAATAATGCCACATAACGCAAACACAAATAAGCAGAATTAAAAGTGAACGTGGCCTTTACCTGCAATACAACATCCACGTCGTAGGCGCTCCCTTTGCTCTTCTGGTAGCCCCGAAACTGGGAGCCGCTGTACAGCACCGACGTGGCCACGCCGGGCTGTTGCCCATTGATTGGGGCGGGCGGCATAAGCGAGCCCGGTGTTGGACAGGCCGCGTCGGAGGCAAGGTAACATTCGGCTGGGACAGGCATGGCGAGCGGTAACGCGTCACCGTCGACTACCGTCATGAACTCGCGAACAGGAAAGCACACGAACGATATCTCTGAGATTGAAAAGTTTGGACAATTTATTTTGACCGGCGACCTCAGCAGGGCTCTGAATGGCTAGTTCAGTTTCCCGAAATCTGATTGGTCGACAGTTGAATGATGTGCGGGGCCTTTTATTGGGTACTGTAATACCGAGAGGCCTTCTGGGACATGTAGTAATATCTGCTCCAAAAAAAAAAGACTGACGACTCCAACCACCTGAAACGTTTTTTTTACGTTCGCCCCGGTCTTCTCATGTTTTGAAGTTTGGACTAAACATCTTTGTTGATTGGAATAGTTTTATCTATATTCTTCATGAATGTTGTTGAAAGACAAATCTAAATGCTATTTCCAAAGAAAAGTGTCTTTATCTTTGTCAGCGATGGAGTGTAATGATGAGCAGAAAAAAAATCATTTAGGTTTATCACTATCCACTAGATGGCAGAAGGTACAATTAACCTGTATCCACCTGTTGGCATTATTCAAAAGAATAACAGCTTTAGGTTCAACTAAACAGGTGTAAGTTAAATTTGTGTAGAAATTGAGGCTAGATCTTTATACAATCAGTAGTCATACTTTTTTAGACGTTTTTGTTTGGTCAAGCATGCCATGAGATTTTTTTTCCCCATCTACTTATGAGTTCCTTGACTAAAAACAGTTTGGGAACCATTGCCACAGATACAGTTTTATGGGGATGATATTGTAGTGCAGAGTAGACATATACAGTCAAACACTTGTTACAAATTTGCAAGACTAAGAATTATAATTTGACGAAATTGCAAGAGGAAAAAAATACCTAATACACAAACCAGTGCAATTGACATACATTTGTTTTCATGGAACAAATACATATTTGGGCACAATAAAATCTGTTGTAATTGTCCTCACACCACTATACAAAATGCCCCCGCCCCCAATAATCCCCTTCAAAGCCACTGTGTTTGCATTACATCCACTCTTTCAGCCTCTCCCTCAAATAGTCGCCATATCTGTGGATATCTGCGATGCGCATTCGGTTCCTCTTCAGTTCTGTGTCTTCAATCTGTGACATCACACAAGGACAACATGAGCATTGTGCACACTTGAAACACAACCTTGTGTCATTTCACTTCCCTACCCCTTTGATAAGGGCCACTTTCCAGGCCTCGGCACGTGTAACCAGCTGAGTTTCCCTGTCATTGATTGTCTGTAGATGGTTGTCATGGCTGGCAGCCAACGTGTCCATCACTGTGTTTTTGTCCAAGAACAACTGCATTGAGAACGGCAGATGTCAAATGTTATAACGTGAATGGGAGTAGTAGCAAGTTCTTGGTATTGGTGTATGAAACCTTTCCAATTTGGGAGGCACATAAAGAGAGACCTGAAACCTTGAAATCACGACCGAACTAAACTGATGTGATTTGACATCCTTTGATACACAGTAAGTACACTACCTACCATTCGAACGTCATCTGGAAAATCCTCTTCGGCTTCTCCCTTAGCCACCAACTCCAGTGTGTTGACGGCGATTTGTGTTATCTTCTGATGATGGCTGTCCTCCAGCTCTCGACAGTGGACGAATGTGTGATTGAGTCAAGGAAGGGCCGGCAAAGCTTTTCGGCAAACTACCGTAAATGTGGAGTTCAATCCACCCTTACGTGTGACGTCACACAAGATGTCAGAAAATTGAGAGAGATTGCAGTCAAATGAGTATCTAAAGCAGGGATTGTAAAAGTGTGGTCCTTCGGGTATACAAGCTCTCTCTAGTGGTCCGTGAAAGGTTAACTGAATGAAATGCAAATATAATTTTACAACATTTAAACCATCCAACATATTCGAATGGAGCAACAAGAGTGGTGAGATGAAATAAATGTCAATCCCATAAATCTTAACAGGAAGTGCAAAAGGATATATGCCTTGAGCTGTTTCACTGAAGCTGCCGATCATCTCCGAGATGTTGCTGTCAAACTTTCTGATTGTTTCCTAGAAGTAGCATCATTTCACTCGCAACCTCACTTTCGCAAAGAATCACTTTTGACATGGTGTTAGTGCACTAAGACTCATCATCTGCGTCGACTCTACTTCAGATCAAATTTCACATCTCACAAGTGAAGATGGGTTGGTACACATACCTCCAGGTAGCTGTAGAGTTGAAATTCCACTGCCATCATGTTGTAGCACAAAACATTGATTTCTTTGAGGCAGATGTCCATCTTGCTCTTTTTTTCCTCCTCAGGTGCCTCGTCCAGATCCACTGTTCTCTAGAGAAGCAGCAGATTCGCACGCAATACATTCCTGTGATATCCTAAAATATTTGCAACATCAAAAACCAGGATTCGCAAAGACGTTCACCAGGCATTTGCCCAACAGTTTGAATGGTCGCAAACAGTTTTGCTTGTCGCCAAGAAATTTTGTTCAGCTTTGCCAAATCTTTGGCGTTCATTGGGATACGGACTTTACAGGAGCTCAGTCTGGGGTTATGTTTTTCCCCTCACTTATGATTTTTTTTTTTCCCGCGATTGACCCATTACCGCGCACGCACACGCAGGCACATACACACGCACCCCATGATGAGCAACAGCCTGACACGGAGGCATGTGACACAGCCTGTTAACTATCGTAGCTCACACGTACCGTTTTAAAGTGCTTCCCTTGGCCCTCTCGATTCCCATTCTTTGCCCGTGCCCTCGGTGAATTGCACACAAAACAAACTCTGAATGACAATAATGATGACGATAAAAGATATAGCGCAACAGCTCTGATCACAAGCTGCAATTGCAGACTGCTGAGCGCGAACAACTTCCGGTGACGCAGGTCACGCGCCACCATAGGTTAAAGATTTACCTGCTTTATTTTATTTTTTAAATACTTTTTGTGAAAATGATACTGATAGGATGATGAAGGTGCAGTGTACATGAACACAAAAAATATATGTCATTAACATGAACAAAGACACATAAATGGTTGTTTGTTTTTTTTCTCCTCTACACCCCTCGCGATCGATTTGGGACCAGTCCGCGATCTACCGGGCGATCGCGATCGACGTAACGGGCACCCCTGCTGTAGTACAATGACAGTAAAGCTCTTCTTTTTATTTTGGTAAGTATAGAGATGAAAATATGGAGTGTTTATGGTTACGCTTCCGCACCTGCTTATGTTCCCTCTGAAAATCAGCCAACACTTTGGATGCTCTGGATTGGCTATCCGTCACATCTGTTTGTAGTCGACAGAAGAACGAGTTCACCTCGACATCTCTTCGCTTGTACTCAGCCAAGCCGACATCAAAGAGCTGGTTGCACAGGTCCACGAGACGCTGCTCGAACGTAAATATGAAGGGTCAAGTTCATCAAACAAATATTTGCACTCCATAGTTACAACTTGACAGCTGTATGGAGTTGAATCCACTCCAAGAAAGGATATGCCTCAAGCAACTCATCCACTCCCGGCAGGCATTGTAGTTTTTTTAACTCTGTATCATTTTGGATGATGTTCTTGTACAGATAATCTCCATTCATCTGCTCCACAAAAGCATCCTGAAATAGGAATAAAAATGAAGACGGCGTCAGAGATCTTCATTGAAATCCCTCATGCGTTTATTGACCTCACCTCATGCATTTGTAGAATCGCTTCCTGTTCTTGCTTTTCCTCCGCAGCTTGTTGTGCCTGTAACTCCCCCTGGTTCATCTCCTCAATGTCAAGGTTGTACTTGGCGGAGGCCTTGTTCCTCTGTACATACAATGACAGCGTGACACGCAAATCGCAAAACGTTTCAATCTAATAGCAGGTACGTGAATGTAAATGAGTCGCGATTTGCGTTTCTTACTATATCCTCATCGATAAATATGTTGTTCAGGAACTTCAATTGCTGAAAATAGGCCGCCAGGAAAAGGGTGTACTTTTCCTCATTGTTCTCCTCTGGGATAGGATTTCCATCAATATTGAGGGTGAAGAGTTTCTTGAACTTTCGCAGATAGACGACCTTTTAAGAGAAGTACAGTGACATTGGCTTTGGAAACGGTTCCGAAAAATGGTCCCTGCTTTTTTTGCTGTTGCAATGTGGCTTATTTAGTTACATTGTTCAGTTGATGGAGCTTGTTGTTTGCAATGCAGAAAACGGTTAGCTCCATCAGGCTGTCCATGTTTTCAATGAGAGAAATTCTGTTGTTGGACAAATTCAGCACTTCCAGCTTCTGAAGACCATTCAGACCTTCGATTTTCTTGATGTTGTTAAATGACAGATCTAAGACATAAAAACCGGTATTATGTTAAGTTTACATGTTCTCCCTGCCCGCACTGTGTTTGGAGCCTGACGGTCGGGTCTTCTCGTCACCGCACCAAAAGACTGATCACCATGGCAGCAATCTCACCTGACTCAGAGCATCCGGCCGAATGACCAGCTGACGTGTTTGATGTCAACTGATGACGCTAAGTGTTCTTTGCAAATCAACAGCTGTCATTCCCACAATCAGTTTGGGGAAGAAAGGAACTCAACTACCCACCCCAAAGCCTTCCTTGAACACCCTCCACAAAGAATTGAGTCTGTCACTTTGTGATTGAGAGCTCAAATATATAATAAGTAACATAGTAATATATTTAGTAATATTTATGAATGGAGAATTAGGTTCAGCAACATGCAGAGTTTTTTTTCTGAATAGCAAAATTACAAAGTATGGTCAGATTCGTATTGCACAATCTTAAGTCAATCTTAAAAACAAAAAAATGAAAATGGCTTGAAACCTTGAGGTGCTAGATGGAAAAAAAATACGATGTTTTTTTTCAGCGCCAAAAATACATTTAGAGGCGCATAAAGTCATCTTTGATTAAAATTTGCTGTTGACCAGTGTGATCAGGATTTCTCCCATCTCCCCACCGCATGCATGTTCGGTTAACAACAAGGAATATTTTTTAATATCTATATCCATGTCTATATCGACATAAATATTTAAAAAAACAATTTCTTACTGAGCCATGTCAGGTTAACGAGATGGTCCAATCCTTCAATCTTCTTGATGAAGTTGTTGTTGAGATTTAACTTGGTTAACGAAGAGAACTCCCACAAGTGGTCAATCTTCTGGATGTCTGTCGGAGGAAAAACGTCATTGCTCGCAAAACATTCAATATTACGAAGCCTGCATTTTTCAACTCACTTCTGTATTCCAGACTCAATCTGAGGGCCTCCTGATAGAGGATTCCCTCTTCCTTGGCAATGCGTTCAGCTTGATCTTGGAGACCTTGCTCGAGTACGGCCTCCTGCAGAATCTCCTCATCTATGTAAATTGGGGTTTTATCATGATAACCGCTTATGTTGGATGTTTCCTTGGTGGCAGACATGACTTGATGTTACAGTCTGTTAAAAAGAAAGAAAAAGATCATCTGTATCCCAATTTGTCCAGGTTAAATGGTCAGAAATGGACAAGGTAAACGTTCGTGACACGTGCGCATATTAATTGGCTGATAATTAGCATTATAACGCTTAAAACTGTTTACTTGAATGCAATAATTATTTGAGTTACCTATATTAGCACAGAATATACAAATGAGCCACAGCAGGGAAGGCGAAGCGTGTATATATGTCCTAAAAGATCGCATTACACTTCAGCTCTTCAATGTTTACAGACTGTTACATAGCAACTGCGTGCTGCGTTCACGTAAGCTCAAAAATCACACCGCTGACGTCAAAGTTGGGAATCTTTCACTTTCAGAGCAATTCACGATTACCTTTTTATAAACTCTTTTTTAATGAAAGTTATAACACTCGTGAGGTATTTTAAAAACTAATCGCAACTCATATACATGGATGAAAAATGAAAATGTATGTCGATACCACGAGAAGCAAAACATGACTGACAGCCGCATTAGCCACACTGGCATTTAAGATATGAATGTGAGTTGTCCAATAGGATAGCTCTGGGGGCGGGGCTTAAGAGTAGCGCCTGGGCCTCCGCCTGTCACCGCCGAGCGGATTGTTTGGTGTCAAAATGGAGTTCTTACTGGGAAATCCCTACAGCACTCCCGTGGGACAACGCATAGGTACGTCCGCTTTTAAAGTCAAAGCATTTGCGATGCAGTGACATTTGCGATATATACGCAGACCAATATTTTCCTGGGTGGCGTCAATGGAAATAGCGAGCTAGCATCCTTGCGACAAACGTCATCTAATTGGAATGAGCTTCCAGACAACATTTTGTTTCTTTTTTGTTTTAGTAAACTTCCGAATTCCGATTGCATCTTATAAATACATTCATTCGACAACCACCTACTCGCATTTGCATTTTAGTCCCTGAAAGTTGACGGGAACATCTTTAAGTTAGCTTTAGTTATGAAAAGTTGTGGCAAACACGTCCGTCTTCCGAATACATATTTCATTAATGTCTTAATAATAATAATAATAATAATAATAATGGTATGTTTTCACCAGCTAATAGGATCCAGTGCGTGATAGTTGCAGTGTTGCAGAAATGTAACGAGGGGCATTCGTCAGAAAAAAACCAGGGCGTGTGTATTAACAAATCCATTTCAAACTCAAACTACATACTATGAGTTTCCCAGTCCGTGATGGCAAGAAAATCAAACTGGACGCTTGCTTCGTTCAGTGCGTGAGAAGAGGTGACTCACCAGTTCACAATGCCCTGAGCACCTGAGAGTTCCTGGCTGAGAAAAACAAACAAATAAACAAAAAAACAAAAACAACATCACAGCTAGAGCAACTTTCGTGGCGTGACTGGGAAGGCTGAGAAGCCCAGACTCGAGAGGACTTCAAACTTGTCGTTTACGTAGATATGAAATTTGTCTTATGTGACACCAGTCCTGGAACCTTTCTGACACACCCTGGAGAAGACTTTCAATGTGCTTAAACTAAAATATAGAATCCACCATTAAAGTATGAAACAGCTCTCAGTATGCAGTTTATACGCCACTGCAACCTACAACCACGGATGAACAGATGAAATGAATACTGTACCGCATTGACTGAATACAAACGAAGCATTGTTATCTATGCAAAGGCACTGTTGTGCAAATGTAATGCTGCGGCCAATGACCTATCCGCATCCAATTTTGTCCTCTGAGATGCGCAATTTCAATGCACAACAGGTTTCAAGTTCAACCTTTTAAGAATAGGAAGCCTCAAAACCCTGTTATTTCACATCATTCGCATGGATACGGATGAAAAGGGCCTCAAGGTGCGACGTGTTTTTCTTCAAGTGGAAGATGGATGCTCTGATTGATTGAGACCTTTGAGAGCAGAGACTACTACTACTACTACTACGACTACTATGTTACATTTTTACACTTTTTAAAGAATTTCCATCAAGCCATTTTTTTTCAATACTTTTTGAACCAACTTTACATTCACTCACAATTGTGCATCCACATCCATCCATCCATCCATTTTCTAATCCGCTTATCATCATGAGGGTTGTGGGCGAGCTGGAGGCTATCCCCGCTGTCTTTAAACAGTAGGCGGGGGACACCCTGAACTGGTTGCCAGCCAATCACAGAGCACATATAGACGAACAACCATTCATGCTTACAATCACACCTAGGGACAATTTGGAGTGTTCCATTAACCTTCCATGCATGTTTTTGGAATGTGGGAGGAAACCAGAGTACCCGGAGAAAACCCATGCAGGCACGGGAAGAACATGCAAACTCCATCCAGGAAGAGCCGGAGCCAGAATCGAACCCTGCACCTGTGCACTGTTGAGGCGGACGTGCTAACCACTGGAGAACCGCGCTGCGCTGCATCAATTTTTTATTTAGAATTTCTTTTTCATCTTAAAGGGCCCTAGACTTCTTGTTGACTCTTAACACTCAGCTAAATCCCATGTTGAAATTTTTATTTTATTTTAATTTTTTGTAGCTTGCTTGTCACCAAGACGTGTTGGAAGTGCGACAGCACCAAAGAGAAAAGTGGTGATGGGACTGAAAATGTGAAAATGTGGAGGCTGCGAATAGAGAGGGACAGCATCTTAGTTGGCACTGCGAGGCACTGCCTGCCTCGTAGTCATCTGACTCCACTGAGGGGCTCTCAGTTCCCAGGACTGGGGTGGGAGTGGGTAGGCATTGACACCATGCGTGAATGCACTCTGTGGGTTTCAAACCCTGTTCTAGACGGAGCTCATTGCTTGGATCTGAAGGTTGGCTCAAAGCCTCTGTGTTTCAAGGAAGGCAAATCCTCCTGTCCGCACATCCAAATCATCTAATCCACCGTTCAAGTCCACTTTTTCTCTTGCACTTATCCGCCTTAAAGTTTGCCACTGATTTACTGACGCAAGCGTTTTACTCAAAGTGTGCCTGGTGATGCTTTAATTCTCTCGGTTTAAAATCAACTTTCAAGTGCCGTTTGATGAAACGCGCTGTCATTTCATATGCGTTGTGGTTACCGGGATAACAATGTGCCTACAAAGTACATTTGTTCTGAGAAAAGAAGAAATTTAAATGGGATTTGGGACCACTTTTTAAATACTGATTGTCATCATGATGAATATGCCGTATTCTGAGTAGTTTATTGTGAGGTGTCAAAATGAAAGTCAAAAATTAATTCATGATTAAATTAATCGGCAACTATTTTTGTAACTCTCAGACAGTCTGTGCACACTTTTTCCAGCAGTTATATTCAAACATGTAGTGTCTATATAGAAACAAATCTCTGAACTCACTTTACTTTATTCAATAAGAGTTAAAAACAACAACAACAAAGGTTCTGTTGCTTCTTCCAGAAAGGGCCACTGATGGAGGCCTCCAGAATGAAGACTGGGCCCTCAACATAGAGATCTGTGACATCATAAACGAGACGGATGAGGGGTGAGTTTGCGAAATGAGCCACCGAAGGGTTTGCTGTTTGCCGTGTAGGATGGGGGGGAAAGAATGCGGGTTGTCGCAGCGCTCGTGCCCACGTCAGTTTGTCACGGAGCTCTCTTTGTTTGACTGGGTGACTCGAGCAAAAAAAAAAAAAAAAAAGCCTTTTGTTTGCTTTGGAGGGGTCAGTTAATGTACTAACTTCTCAATGAACTTCTCATAAGAACGCCAACATGCAGGAATTTATACTGAGGTCGTCACTTACTCAGATAAATCATCTATTTGCATTCTTAGCACAAGGGATTTAATGGAATAAAAAGCAGCCTGTAGTGGTTGTCCATCCTTCCAGTAAATATAAATAAGCAACAAAAAACACATTTAGCCCCTGCGAACAAAGACAATGCGACAGAAAAGGATCCACGCTGTAACTGCTCAGGTTCTCCGAACACAAAAACCTTTGTTTTGAAGTCAGGATGTACAGTATTGCTTTTGATTCGGTTCGCCAAAGTGAGTGAGCGAAATGGAAACCGCCGTTTTCAATTCAAGTCACGCACTTTAGATGAATGCTAGTCATTTATTTATTTATTTATTTTCTCAATACGAGATGTCAGTGTCTCACCTCAGCGCGAGTCCTGCTTTCAAGTTGACACGCATTTCTTTCCCCTTAGGCCAAAAGACGCCATGCGAGCGCTGAAGAAACGACTCGGTGGCAACAAGAATTATAGAGAAGTCATGCTGGCGCTAACGGTGAAAGGCATCGTGAAACTTTTGGATTCAGATGATTATATCATGCGTGTATTTCACTGATCATCTGTGACCCGGTAGGTAGTGGAGACCTGTGTGAAGAACTGCGGCCACAGGTTTCACGTTCAGGTGGCCAACAGAGATTTCATTGATGGCGTTTTGGTGAAAATCATCTCCCCCAAAGCCAACCCTCCGACCATCGTGCAAGACAAAGTGCTGTCGCTCATACAGGTACAGGCGGCGTTTGTACGATGGTCCAAAAACACGCACTTAGATTCTGCGTTCTTGTAAAAAAAACCCACATTTTTCAAATTTACGTTGCATGATGGAATATGATATATGAATGTGATATTGAAAGATACCGTATTGGCCCGAATATAAGACGGTGTTTTTTGCATTGAAATAAGACTGAAACAGTGGGGGTCGTCTTATATTTGGAGTCTAGACATTATACCCATTCACGACGCTAGATGGCGCCAGATATCAATGAAGCGAATGCTGAACTTGACTCCCCAGGCCAAAGTGAACCCCTGCCAAGAAGGATAAAAATAAAAATAGCGGTAGCGCGAAGAAGAAAAATAAAAAATAGCAGTAAGAAGGAAAAGAGAAGAAAATAATGGAAGAGATAACAGAAAATCGAGAAACGTAGTGACAATCTGGAGAAAAGTGGGTCGAAGATCGGCCAGGTTAACCGGCAGCTGAGGAGAAGTTATGATGTAATTTACATTTAAAAAACCAAAAGCCATTCATTTACGAATGTGATTGCACTTTAGATTTGAATGAGGCCAAATAACATGCTTTTTCTCTCAAATATATTGTTATAATCATTTGTTTCAGATGTACTATACCGGTAATTATTTTCTGTATAAAAATTTACTTGGTGTCCAAAAAGTCTTTTTTCAAACTTGAGTCTTGAAAAAGAGGGGATCGTCTTATAATCAGGGCCGTCTTATATTCGGGCCAATACGGTAAATCGCCATTTTCAAAGCAGTACTCCTCATTGAGCTTTGTGACTTTCACAACAGCCATGCACTCTCTTCTCCTCTAGCACGGCCTCACTGCTGTAGAACTTAATCAGTCTATACAGACTCTAGCTTCTTCCTATGTTTTCAAATAACCTTTTCATGAGCAAATAATTTTAAGTCTCTGTGCGGTAGGCCTGGGCCGATGCCTTCCGGAGTAGTCCTGATCTTACCGGGGTGGTTCACATCTATGAAGAACTGAAGAGGAAGGGCATGGAATTTCCCATGGCAGATTTGGATGCGCTGTCCCCCATCCACACACCGCAGCGGGTAAAGACCTGCATTTGGAAACACGCATTCATCCCATATTGACTATGATCTCATATGTCTCCTCCCAGGGCACACCGGAGGTGGACCCAGCTATGATTAAGTACCTGGCACCCGAAACCTCTGCTCCATCTCCAAAACCAGCCACCAACTCATCTGCCACACACGTCGCTCCACGCGGCCCCATCACAGCAACTCCCGAGCAGGTGATGTAGACCGAGACCCACCTTGGGCCGTCCATTGCTTCTTTTCTCACGTTGATGTTCAGAAGTGATTTTTAAATTTTTTTTGGACTGTCTTTGCCCACAGGTGGCGAGGTTACGTAGCGAGTTGGACATAGTGAGAGGCAACATTAAAGTCTTGTCAGAGATGCTCACGGAGATGGTCCCCGGCCAGGAAGACAGATCCGATCTCGAACTGCTCCAGGTTTGTTGGAGGATTTAGATTACAATAGAGCACAGTATGCCCGCATGTCAATGTATTATAGCCACCAGAGGGAGTAGTTTACCATGGTCTTAGTAAAATGTTTTCATTCAGAGTCACGTTGCAGCCTTCTTTCTCTATTTGCTGACTTTAACAATCACTGTACGTATATTCACCCTTTTCAACAAAATCGATACACAACTTTCAGTCCACCTTGCATCTGAAATCAGATCCATCTATTTTTCGTTCTCCCCTTACCTACTTATGTTTTAAGGAGCTGCACAGGACATGCCGAGCAATGCAGCAGCGAGTGGTGGAACTCATCTCGCGCGTGTCGAATGAGGAAGTGACCGAGGAGCTGCTGCACGTCAATGATGACCTCAACAACATATTCCTCCGATACGAGAGGTGCGGACGCTTTGAAGGATCACGCGCGCGTCAAAACAGTCCATGATTCTTGAAGTCCCTATAACAGTGTGTTTTGCTGCTTCCAGGTATGAGCGGTACAGGTCGGGGCGATGCGCTCACAACAAAACGGTAAGTGTTACCTGGACCTGCTCGCAATGCATCCACAGTTGGTGATTTGCATGCGAGAGAGAATGTCGTCTGTTGGAGTGCGTAAATATCTACAAGGTGACCACAAGCACCACAGCAACATTCTTAAGTGATGTGCAGTCCGAGAGGGGGCGGGGCATCTCTCGCCACATCCCATAGATTTGTTTGTTTGCTTTCTGTTGATCTGGGTGTGCTCTGTTTTGTTGTCTTGTGGCTAGCTCATGGAGGTGAGGATGACTTTGTTGCCATGTTTGATGGCAGCAAAAGTTCCTGAGATGAACAGTGGGATTATTCATTCATTCATTTTCCGATCCGCTTATCCTCACAAGGGGGGTGCTGGAGCCTATCCCAGCTGTCTTCGGGCAGTAGGCGGGGGACACCCTGAACCGGTTGCCAGCCAATCGCAGGGCACACAGAGACGAACCACCATCCGCACTCACACTCACACCTCGGGACAATTTGGAGTGTTCAATCAGCCTGCCATGCATGTTTTTGGAATGCGGGAGGAAACCGGAGTACCCGGAGAAAACACACGCAAGCCCGGGGAGGACATGCAAACTTCACACAGAGAGGCCCGGAGCTGGAATTGAACCCGGTACCTCTGCACTGTGAGGTCGACGCGCTAACCACTGGGTCACCGTGCCGCTTAGTGGGATTAGTAAACATTAAAAAAAAAAAAGCATGTCAGTACCTCGTGACTTTCCTTGTTAGTGTGGCAGTGAACCCTTCCCTTTTTGCACTTAGCTGTTGACATATTCACTTTTTTTTTTTATTAACTTATGCTCAGCTATTCCCAGAAAAAAAACCACCCATTATTGTTTTTTGAAAGCTTTCTATAATGATTTGAGATGCCCCCAAAAGGCGCCAAAGCCATTGCTAATAGAGAAGGTCGTAACTGGTGTCAAGGAAGTATCTTTGTATTTCGGGGAGGATCTAAGTTGATCGACATGCTGCAGACAGGCGAGCTAATTGCATCGTCGTTGCCATGATAGTTTTACACATTGGCGGAGCTCATATAACATAGACACATAATATTGCAATATTTATTGGATTATGGGGAAAAAAAATAATCAAGATTAATTGAATTGATAATGAAATTATGAAAAATGATTATTCATTGATTTCCAAGCTTTATTTATTCACCTACCAAAACTGCACTCCCCAAAACTCAAACGACGACTGCGAATGTGCATTTATGGTGGGTTTTTTTTCCTAAATAAAATGATCTGCAATTCATTTATTTTTAAGGGTTGATTTTGCAAGATCACTTTGAAATGATTTTGAAGTTTTTGGGGGATCATTGTGATATATTTCTTTTCGCTACTCATGGAAAGGCCTGGTCCATACATTTACTGCCGTTGCCATAAAAATTGTGTCCTAAGTTCCACAAATTTGCTAAACAAAGCTCTGTTCCTACCAATTATTGCCCCGGTGCACAAGATGTTATTTTCTATTGTTCAAGCTACATTTGACTTGTGCCCATGTCTTCTCCTAGATTTTGGGTGAGGCCACAGACGACAACCTGATCGACTTGGGTTCCGGCTCCCCCGCCGTCTTCTCACCCAGAGTGCCGTCCAGCCCGCCTCCTCACAGCGCCACAGGGGCCGCTGCCTCCCCAGCCCGGAACCCCGCTGCGGCATCGCTGTCCTCTGCGCTGGCCGGCCTCGGTAAGAAAACAACAAAGTCTGCGTACTAAAAATTTGTCTTGAAACTAGTTTCAAAGTGACAAATAGCTACCAGGAACTCTCAATTAGGGACGAGTCCAAGGTTTGCCACCAAAGTGTTTCAACAGTTTGAATCCAAGCGGGATGACACAAATATTTGCTAGCTTGTCCTCGGGAACCTGTCATTAGCATGTTATCAATCGTAACGTCAGCTAAAAATCACCAAGTATTAGGACAAAGCATCGGGAAACATATTTGACAGGTGTACTTTAGATATTCCTTCTGTGACATGATGGCAACGTATAATTAGGTAATTATATATCATGCTGTTTTGCTCTGTTGGTTTCCATTAACAACAACATTTTTTTTTTTTTTTTTTTAAATCTGTGTTGCGACCTTGTTCCAGATGTTGGTCCTGCAAGTCAACCAAGCCGCAACAATCAGGATGACTTTGACATGTTCGCTCAGACTCGGAGCAGCTCTTTGGCTGAACAGCGCAAAAAGTATGTCGACATGCTTTTGGCATTGGCTTGTACAGCTGTTTCAGAAATTTTTCTTTTTTTTTTTTTTTTTTTTAAACCTTATTAGGTGTACACATGTGAGAAGAATCGTTTTAGAACAAGACCGTTGTTCAGACGGTCAGCCAATAGAAAGCTTAGAGAGGCCAGGACGCACTGGCTGGTGGTTCTTATCTGTGTTGGTGATGTGTTTTGTTGTGCACAGTGTCAAGTACGAAGATCCCCAGGCTCTGGGTGGCCTGGCTTCGGCTTTGGATGTTCGACAGCACAACACGGGAGGGGTGAGTGCACTCGACACAGGCGTCACAAGCGTCTGTCTTGCTCGTGACGCTCTGCCACACTGACATTTACAGCGGCCTTCTGTGTGCATTCCTACAAACTCAAAAAGAGTGAACCAACACTTATTTGTACAATCAACACATTTTTTTGATTGATTCTCTTTGAACACATGACAAAAGACACCATATGGACAAAAGTCTTAATCGGTGGACTTATCAAGTGCTTGAACTTTAGGTTTCTCTCAAATCTTCGCCCTTACCGTACATTCAAATCTTCCCATAAGAATGGAATCTGTTGTAAGCTTCAAACGGTGGGTCAATTCCATAGTTTTCTCATTTCACCTCTTGTAAGTTTCACGGCAGGGCGTCCCAATACATTTGTCCATGTGCATGTTACCACTTTGCATGCATAAGGTGTCCTTCGAAGATCTCAAGCTCCATACACAGTGGCAGACATAAACAGTACCAATTCAAGTCACTTCCCTTTGGAGTCGTGGCATCTTTTTTTCCCCGCCCCAGCCATATTTTCATCTTCCTCTCGCTCCATCTTTTGCCCTCCTTCCTCCATTTTGGACTTGGCTGTCTGTGCTATTCTGTGCTCTGTCTTCTTTGGAGTAAGGTGTATTTCTGTCCTTGATTCAGCTGAGGGTAGAAGGGGATGATAACCCAGCAGATCAGGAGCTGCCCATAGACAGCTGGCTTATTACCCAAGGAATGGTGAGGACTCCATCCTGAGTGTGTCCTCCTCCTCCTCCTCCTACTCCCCCATCACCACCACTCGCTTCATCCGGGCCTCCCCCATAATTCCACCGCTCATTGTTTTTAGTCTCACGCCTCTCTCTCCTGGACTGCTGAAATAAAAGCCCCTTACCAGCAAATTTTCCCTACGCCAAGTCCATATCTAACACAGGCGCCGTACTCCAGTGATGGGCAATATGATGAACGGTAACATTAAAGATAACCTTTTTCTACGACTGCAAATTTGGCGCTCCTGTTTTGTAGCTGACTGAGCCATTTTCCAAATATTGCAAATGGCACGGCAGATCTATAAACAGGATGTCTTTGTGCCAGCTTTGGTCTTGAATATTTTCATGGCACAGCATCATGTTTGGTCAGGTATTTATTCTGCTGCATTCATTTAAAGCAGGGGTGTCAAACTCATTTTTGTCGCGGGCCACTTTGGAGTTACGTCTTCCCTCGGAGGTCCATTAATTGAATTGAATTGAATACAACTTTATTTTCAAATGTGCTGTACGTAAGTACGTACGTAAGACAGTGTAACCGAATAAATGTTATCAACACATCGTATTATTACTTGTGCACAAAAAAATGATGGGTCACTAGTTTTGAAATCATTCAGGTATTTGTTAAATTATTGCTCAAAGTGTAAAACCAGGGCAACAAAATGATTGCAAAATGTCACTGTTATTTATTATGTATGACAATTTGAGATTTCGGTGCAGGTTTAAGCAATGATCATGGAAGTTGACACAGACGATTTGCTTTCACGGGCCACATCAAATGACGTGGCGGGCCGTATCTGGCCCCCGGGCCTTGACTTTGACACCTGTGATTTACAGCCTCTGTGATAGATATTTTTAAGAAATATAGACTTCATGAAAGCAGTTTTTTTTCTCCATATTGCCCACCACTGATTTCTTTCATTGACATAGCTGCCAAACACTGAAAAGTTCCTGTCCCCTTTCAGCCTTCAACCTTCACCTAAATATAAAAATAGGCCTGACATGAACCTTTCCCCACTTTCATCTGCCAGATTCATCCTGTTTCAAAAGCACACTAAAACCGACAGTAGACTACTATTAGCACTGCTAGATAGAAAAAAGGTCTCTAACACCAATTTACTGTTGAAGTTGGACAAAATGTGACAATGCAAATCAACAGCATCGCTTGCTTATTACAAAATGGTCGTGTAGCCGTGAGTATTGTGACGCAGATAAACAAACATGACCCAAGATAGCCGCCGCCACACGTCCCGGTCTAACCTGACACGACCAGTCAACGGACACGTGACTTTGTATTTGTAACGTTTTTAGCGTTATCTCTGTAAATGTTTGAATAAGAACCTTTTGAGCCCTCCTAGTACCACTTTTTGTCGCTTTAGTGTCATTCTCGCTTCTCTGCTGTAATGTCACAAGAAGGCTTCCACCTTTTGACTTTTAATAAGTGTTGTGATAAGACTCTCTCGTGACATCATACGAGGTTCACTTTGTTGCACAACCACAACATTGGTATTGGTTTTAATACCAAAAAGCATGTGGGGTGCTTAGATGTCACGCTTTATCTTAAGTGCACTTTTTTTTTTTTTAAATGGGACCTTTGAGGTTGAACATGTTAGGGGATACTGATCACCGATTTGTTCGGATTTTGGTTTTAGAGTCAAACTATCACCGTTGTAAATTCTTTATTCGGTGTGCAGAGCAGTGCTTCTCAAACTTTTTACAGCAAGTACCACCTAAAAAAAAATAATGTGATCAAGAATGAGACAGGTTTTATTCCTAAAAAATATATTTCCCATCTTTGTAAGCCACAAACGTCATACACAGTTTGAACCTTAGCATTGCACCCAAACGTTGCAAAAATGAAAAAAAAAACAAAAAAAAACCTAAACAAAGATTCATTTACAATGTCCATCCAACCATCCATTTTCTGATCCGCTTATCCTCACAAGGGTCGCGGGGGGTGCTGGAGCCTATCCCAGCTGTCTTTGGGCAGTAGGCGGGGGACACCCTGAACCAGTTGCCAGCCAATCGCAGGGCACACAGAGACGAACAACCATTCGCGCTCACACTAGGGACAATTTCGAGTGTTCAATCAACCTGCCACGCATGTTTTTGGAATCTGGGAGGAAACCAGATTACCCGGAGAAAACTCACACAGGCCCGTGGGTTTGCAAACTCCACACAGGGAAGCCGGAGCTGCACTGTGAGGTCGACACGCTAACCACTGGCCCACCGGGCCACCCTCATTTAAAATGTAATCCACATAAATATGTCCCCAAATAAATATTTAAAAACAAATGGAACTGTTCAAAATCCCTAGGCAGCGATTCTTTCACCTGCCACTAGAGGGCGTGCACAAACTACTACACTTTGAGAGTCACTCCTTTCGGTGCTAAAAGATAACTTAACCACTGGTCATAGGTATTAAGACATAAAAACTATTAGACACGCAATAATGACAAAGGTGTAAGGCAACACTTCACTTCTAGACTCACTCGTTTTTTGAATCACGCTCATCACGCAAGTGTAAAATTAGCTTAACCGCTTTAAAGGAATGAAAAACTCTGCCTCGTCTTTGGTAACAAGTCACGGCCAGAATCCACAACCAACTTGTGTATTATCCTAAACCGTCCTCTGAAAATGTGTTGCCTGTCCCACACATGCTCTCCTCACTGTGCCTTAGCATCACAGCGCTCTGTGCGTGTGTGTGCGTGTGCGCGTGATTGCCCCTTGACAGTTCCCGAGGCTCCCGCCTTTCTCCTCCAATCCATTTCTTAATCAGGTTGAAATAATTTGCTAATTCCCAAATGATGTGAATTAATGAACGCCGCTGCGTGACATGAGGCGGCAGCCGTTAGGTTGTGTCAGCACCACGGAGCTAACGAGAAAACACCCACCACGGGAACTCCTTGTTCTTCAGGTCAGCAGCTCACTCGCAGATTGTTGCGCAGTGACAGCACCTACTTGAGAGTTGGTTGACCCTTGCTTTTTCCTTTTTTTTCAATTTTCCTCCTGCCTGAGCAATTAGTGATTCCTGCTTTTTTTTATTTATGTTTTGTGATATTTGTTTCCGTTGTGTGATGTGGTTGTCTTTTGTGTCATGTGGCTTTTTTTTTTTTTTGGGTGGGGGGCACCGCTCCCTGCTTTGTCCATGGCTTTGTTCCGTAGATCCCTGTTTCGCAGTCCTCTGTCATGGATGATATAGAGGAGTGGCTCTGTGCTGATGTGGTGAGACTTAATTTACTTTGATTTTAAAACTTTTTTTTTTCCTGTCCCTCACTTTTATTTTTTTCCTGACCCATCCGTCCCGCAAAACATTAGTTTCCTCTAACATCAGATTCCTTTTATTCCCACTAATCCTACTTGATTTCCATCAATGACTGACATCACAGATGAATGAGCGTGAGGCTTGACTCACTCACAAACGTGGCCCGGTACACATGCTTAAATGTACTGAGTGTCCATGTTGCCGAGTAATGATCAGTTTTGAGTCTGTTAGAGAGCTACTAAAGCAACAATGTGTTTATTTTTGTGATTTCATCTCACTGCAAGGTGTCATATTTTACATTTCTCAAGTTGCTAAATAAGACATCTTTATCTCGAGTACTCACTACAAAATGCATGTGTACCAAATCAAGTGTTGTTTTTAGTCTATTCTGTATGCTATTGTACAGTTAATACAGTATCCAGATGGCTTTGTGCATGTTAAAAAAGGCCTTTATTAGTACAAATCTTATTTTTAATTATAATCAGCAATTATTATAATTAATATTTGTTTCCTAAATTATTCACGTTATTGATATAATGTAAATGGTCCAGACGCCACGGTGTTTAATTTCACCATCATGATCATTACGTGAGGTAAGGCGATGGGCCGCAACAATTAATCGAATAACTTGAATAATTTGAGCTACAAGGAACATTTCTATGAAAGACAGATTGTCCAAAATGTTTAGGAGATGAAGGAAGATAAAGAGCAGTAGCTACGACATCATGCCTCCGATAGCCAACGCAAGGTATCGATGTTTGCTCATTAAATAGCGCCTACCATCGCTAGTGAGACATATTGTAAAGCCTAGGCTCGTGGTCAAGGAAAGACACAGCTGCCCGTGCATTTTCAATCCCGATACAGAACAAACAGTGCAAACAAGACGTTTATACACTCTCATTTGCCGACACCCACGTCACTCACCGAGCCAGGCTCCACATTTTAAACCTGCACACACTCAGTCACAAATCCTACTAAAAGAATATGAGGATGGAGATCGCCTATTGGACAAAACCTGCAACTCACATGCACGTTATTCTGTTTAAAAGTGCCAAATAATTTCTTGTCGGATTCATCGATTCGACAAATTTTTCGATAGCTGTAGCCCTGTTGAGGCCTTTGTTCACACAGATGGCACACTCAGCAATTACTTGTGGCAAGGTGTGTTTTAACTGAAGTCCATTATTTCACAAGATGAAGTAAGATTGTTTGCCAAAACTTTCAATAACCACATTTTTCATTAATAGAAAGGCGATCCTCAGGATGAAGGCGTAACCAGTGAAGGTACGCCAAAGCATTTGGTTTTGTTCGTTTGCCTCATTCCAAAAATAAATGCACAACCAATCAATTTTGCATAGATGCCCTTTAATGACTCCTTGTGTTTCTTTCAGAGTTTGATAAGTTCCTGGAGGAGCGAGCGAAGACATCAGACACATCTCCCGCCGGGGTCGACCCCGCTCATCCTCCGCTCCCGGCTCCCGTCGGCCCTCACAAGAAAGCCGAACGGACCGAAGACGCCCTCTTTGCCTTGTAGACTTGCACTTGAGTATCTCCGTCGCTCCCTGTGGGCCCGTCTGAAGGTCGGCGCTTTGAATGGTTCCCCTTGAAAATGGTCCTCCGGTCCCATTTCAACCTCTTGCCTCTTGCTACAGTGTTTCTCCCAACATACACAGACGACGGGCAGATTGTGTAATACCATTCGTGGAAGTATTTGATTCGTCAATGTGGGATGTAGTGACGCCTTACTTCACATTTCTAATGCTCCACCAAAGGATAACGGCCTAACGAATAGAGAGGGGTTTAAAATGACAAGCTTGGTTGATGCGAGACAAACTTCAGCCATTGCAAGGACGAACTCGTATCGTGGGCTAATTGCTAATCTAAGCATTTATTGTTTTAATGGTTTGCGCTGTCGTATGCACAAGTGCTCATTCCTCCCCATAACTATTCCAAGTAACAGTTAAGTGGAGTGTATAATCCTGCTAACAAATCTTCATTGAGCTGCTACAAAACGCTAGTGTTCACGTCCCAAGTGTTGTAATGCTTTAAAAGAGTTGGACCAGAGAGTGACAAAAAGACTGATGTGCAGGAGTTTGCGACTCCGGCAGGCTGTGATAGAGCAAGGACCACACTGGCTCATCTTAACAAGCAACCCTCTAACCAAAGGGAAGAAAAACAATCCGAATACAGACAATGGTGCCTGGAGATACGAGTGACGGTCTTAGCCCCCCCCCCCGTACAAGCGCTGTATGGGCAGTGAACACAACTCATCTCGCGTCACACAAAGCAGCAGTTTGGCAGATAGCGAACAATTCTTTACACAAAAAAAAAAAAAAAAGGAGGCCTTAAGATATTTAACGCCACTCGCAGTTGAAGTGTACTGTCAAACTCAACCTAAAACGAGGAGCGTTACATTTTTTTTTTTTTTTTTTTTTTTTTAAGACAACCGCACAGCCTTGCCTTCCGCGAACACCAAATGCAAAACTCCCTCGACGGGCTAACAAACCACATCAATAGCCGCCGTGTTCTAACCCTTGAAGCAATGGATAGTTGCATCAACACATGAAGACACACAATACAATACTTGATGGAACATTTCTTTATCACCTGCAAAAAAGAAAAAAGAAGCTCATAATATTGCAGTAGTCTACTGAGTCACTTACTCTAATTGTGAAAGTCTTCTTTGTTTATATACTCCTGACTGACACTCTCCAGCATACCTGTGACTAGTGAGGAGAAGCGGTTCAATAAATGAATTAATAAAACACATTCGTCGGGGGGGGGGGCTGGAACAAGTTAATTTCCGTTCATTCCAAGTGGAAAAGCTAATTTGAGTTACAGGGGCGTTACGAATATGGTCATGGGATTCAATTCAACTCGTATCTCAAGGCACCAGTGTTTTGAAAATAGACTGTTATGCAAATGTAAAAAAGGAAGGGTCCATAATATGCCCATTGATTACTTTTTGTTCCGAGAAGCTATATTTAATATCTGGAATTATTCCAAACTGACAGTTTTCTCCCCCTACCCCATCAGTAATTAGGCCCCCTTTACTTGTACTCCTTCAAATATGGTTAACCTGAAGCTTGTTAACACTTTCACACTTTAAAGTTTAAAAAAAAAAAAAAAGGGAACAAAATAATGTCATGTTATGAGTGTTTACAACGTGGTTCATATTTTTCTAGGAAAAAGGGAAAGACATTTTGTTTTGAATTTCTTCATTTTGCACATAACTAAAAAACAAAACAAAACAACAGTGTAACTTCTTTGACCACAATAGAAATGGCAGGAGACGTGGGTGAGAAATTAAGTGTTTAAACTGCCTGGACTGCACCAAACTATTGTAATCAATTACCTACAAGACACACACACACACACACACACACACACACACACACACCTTGATTAAAAAAATATCAATAAAATATGTTTTTATTAATCGTGCTATGCAGACAGAAGGGCGATGTATGTATTATTTCTTCCCCTGGTTGTGTATATATGTTTTAACACTTTTTGAGAAACAATATATTTTTTACCATTCATTATTTTGATGTCAGCAAAATTGTTATTTTTATTTTCCCATCACTCATCTTCTCTTCTGAAACTGAAGTATGTCTTTGGTATTTCCAAGATCCCAAAATTCCATCCTATTTTAAAATGCAGCACTTTTAACCTCCTGCTTTGTTCCAATTTTGCTTTGCGTCTATTTTTTATATATATATTTTTTTCAGCTTGAGACCAAAACCCTTATTAGTCAGATGCAGTATTATTGCCTCTATAGTCCACTGGATTTGGTAACAATCTTTAGATTAAGTGAAAAATACATTTGCCGACCTAATCTTTTGAACTATCTAGGATTAGGGTTAACTAAATTGGCTGGAAATGGAAGAGATTTATTTAACAGTCAATGTTTGAGTAAACTGTTACCATACGGGCTAAACGAATGTGGCCTGAAGTTGCTTAACGTTGTGTTGGAATTTTTTAACATGGTGTTTTCATGATGCATACGTGTCGAATGAAATGTGGACTCTTCCAAATTCAGGTTGCGTTATTGATTGGAACGCGACTGTACACGTTTTGCGTTTGTGGATGTTCCGTGTCTGTTGGGGGCCATGCCATCTGCTGCCATCGCTGACTGTCGGGTCTCTGTGTGTCTTGATGCACGTATGTAACTGCCCAATAAAACACATGTGAGACTGCTACCTCACACGGTTTGTTCTTATTGCATTATTGCGTGATGTCGCTCGCGATGGCTGCATGTTGAAATTTGAAAGTAAACACAATTTTGCAGTGTTCTCACAGCCATTTTTTGTCTGTTGGCGTGTAAAACGCAAACATTAAAAAATGGCTTCAAAATGGCCCCCTTTAGTCTTCTCTGTCACATTACTTTTTGGTCTCTTTATATGTCCTTCAGGATGCATTCCTCGCCAAAGGCACGCCGGACAGCTCCATATTGGGGCGAAATTCCTCGTTGTTGTGTCATTGTTGACAAATTGTATGCTATGCCCAAAAATATCATGGGTAAAACACCGTAATAGTGCAAATCTCACCACAAATTAAAGTTAAGGGCAGAAAGTGTAAATAAAGGAGAAAGCTAAAGAAGCATACCAAAGCGCCAATATTCTCTGCTAAAGAACGTCACACCTAAAATGTACGGAATTCAAAACTGCTTAGCATGAGGTAAATTTAAAACTAGATGATAATAATGGTGGAAAAAGTACAAATAAACAAGGTGTCACTCTTATAACAGGCTGCAGTCTCATATGCGACTTTTTGGGTTACTCTTAATTCCGTTTGGTCACTTGCCACGAAGAATTGTCGATGAACTGTTAGGTGTCGTCTTGGTCTGACATTAAAATGTGAACAGATTGTTGAATAGGAGTGTTAATTCTAACTATATTCATCACCTCCTACACTGCACTATAATACAGATTATTTTCACTCCACGTGGATATGTGTATTCTTCCACTGGCGTGGCTCCAAAAACATATGTTGCTCCATGACAATAAAGGAATTTGCTGCAAGACTTTGGACCTTGTTACTCTAGGTTAGTGACCTATTTCCCCCACATGCCCTAGAAGAGCATGTGACTCCGAATGGGGATTGATTCAGGAGAGACTTGTTTGGTTTCTCAATTGTTTACATTATTCAACAATTGCGACGCTTCTGGAAGGAGGTGGAGTTATTCGTTTTTAATACAGTTTATTTTGTAGTTCCTTTTTAAGTTTTTTTTCGTGGGGCATTACCAAAATGATTTTTAAAAATGTGATTAACGGTTGGCATCAGGTTATTTCCCTGTAGCTCTTTAAACAGCAAGGCACATGATGTAATCCCAGACTCACGGTTGAGACGTCATATCACACCACTCCGCTCCTTCGCTTCTCATTGGACGATTCCACTGGTTCTACAGGCGGGGCCGTGAATGCGAGTCATGCAAACTTGATGTTTATTTCCATTTGCACGCAGGCTCTCTATTGGCTGTCAGGGACAAACCCACATCGTAGCCGCCCATGCGGTAATATTTTTGTTGAAATAGACTTGCTCCAAATTAATGAATTGATGGGGTTTCGGGAAACAATTGAGTTTATATTCTGTATGTAATTTATAGGTTACGTCAGCGTGGCAATATACTGACTCTTCTGTAAAGCGGTCGTCTCTTTGCCTCCACGTTTTGTCACAAAACACTGGTAACAACCAGCGGGGGGCAGGCTGAATGCGGAAGTGAGTTGGCTATCGTGTTTATGATTGGTTAGATTACCTGTCCGTTATCATCAAGCGAGGCGGGCGAATTTGGCTAAACGCGATGTGGTGAATGGGATTCAGTGTTTGGTTTGACAAGTTTCTCTGAGCCATCATGGGGTTTGCACCGGCCAGCTAGTTGGCGGAAAGGAAAAAAAAGTTATCCTCCACCACGTTTGGGTACACGTTGACAAATGTAGCTACACGAGAATCTGACGAGTATTCGCGGTTGGGAGATTTTACCCCCGACACCCCTCCAGCATCTTTTTATTTTACACTGGAATATCCTAAAAACACACCAGCAAAGATGAACAGCTTGTCGTTTGACGATCCTTCGTTGGATAATCTGGATCCGACATTGTCGCTCAATGACCCCAGCGAGATTGACACGGCCCTTCTCAGCGACATTGATGGTAAGAATATTGTATTTTCACAAACAAAAACAGTCAACGCTTACTAATAGCATCATCAGCATATCAGACAGCCGCTTAAAATAACGCTCTCAGTGTTTCAGGTACATCCTATTTTCGATAAAAACGTTTGTTTTATAAAGAACATGATGAAGCGTTTACATCAGGACTCAGTGTAGCTTTGTTACAGCTAGCTAATGAGATGAACCATACATGCGATACATGGACTTTTCGGAGCGGTTTTCAGTGATTGTGTAATTTAGAAAACGCATAGAAATGCATGATTAATTTGTGGAATATTAGGTGATGTAAGGGTTGGCGAAATGTTTTTTTTTTTTTTTTTAAGAGAGCACGGCTACCGTGCTTGTGACGGCGCCCCGCCCCCCAGCGAGTTTCCCAGACGGAGGTTACTCGCGTTCGTTTCCTCCTCGCGGGTTCACGGAGCCTCATTTGACCGTAATTGCACGGAAGTCCATTAAACACAAAAAGTGATACTTGCCAAACCGTCACTGGCTCACACTTTTTGTTCGTTTGTTTAATAGCCCAGCGCGTTATTGTGTAGGCGCTGCTTTGTACAACGGCTAACCCATATTCGCTTGGCAATCATTCAAATATATATCTAATTCTAAACCGTTGAATATCAATCTCAGATGTAGACCTTTTTATATTATTGAGCAACGTGTTATTTTTAGGGCTAAATAAACAAATTACGTCACTCTCTAGACCTGAGACGGTGTTTCCACCCTCCATGTGACCGACAGTAACCTCTCCGTCATACCCTTTCCTGTCTTGGCCGAGATGCGCTGTGATTGGTCAAGAGCGATCGCCTCATACAAAACACGATTGCAGTTTTAAGAAGCACCCAAGCCGGCTTGGTTGCACTCAAATAAAACAATGATCTATTATTATCATCAATTATCATGATGAAAGATTTCATATTGAGACACATTAAAAATATTTTAGCAGAATAGTTTCTACTTAAAGTGATGCCCCACTTATGCAAATTAGAACTGTCGAATACAGTTCAAGCATTCCTCATTTTGATATGAATAAAGAATTATGACCTAGTTTGCTCAAATTCAGAATAGATTTGTTGAATCGTCTTGATTCTCAAATGCACTTATCAAATTACACATTTTTTGTTTTGCTTTATTACTAATATTTTGTTGCTTGATCAAGACATCATTTTAAGACACCAGATATGCATGCTTTTTCTTTGCCAGCCTTATTTTGTACATTTACTGGAATTAATTGCTGTAGTGGGAGAAAATGAGCAGATTTTTGCAATTTGTATCCTCTTTTGTAAAGTTAAGCAAATACTTAAGAGCAAAGTAATGTAAAATAGTCAAATGTTCTGCCTGTAGTTCTTATATTTATTGTTGTAAGTGTCAATGTAATACACTGGTATTATTTTCAGTCCATCTTTCAATTATAATCATGCTTTTGATTTTCAGACATGCTCAAGCTCCTCATCCACCAGGAAGGGGAACTTGGAGGCCTCTTTGATAACCCTCCATACACAGGAGGACCCACCACCAACATGGAACTTCCTTGTCTGCCCCAGGCCGTCACGTCGCCCACCACCCTGCCCACCACGACTGCACCTCCATCCACGTCTTGTTCTTCCTCCTCCATCCTAAGTAGCAGCCCCCACCTGGATGCGCTCCTGGGCCCTCCCATCACCCGCAGCTCATCCACCCCAGATAAGGCCTTCCAGCCTAGCACCTTTCAGCAGTCCCCGCTGGCCCAGGTGTCCATCCCCACCCCACGACAGCAGCCGGCGTCCCTGCAACAGGCTCACACTGTCACCCCGCCCAAAGTGGAACCGCCCCAACCTGTTGTGGGCCAGACTGCTCCTGCCTCAGGAGCTTCACCTCATGGATCACCGGTTCCAAACCCTGCATTCAGCAGCACCTCCCCTTCACTGCCCCAAACTCCCCCCGAGCCTCCAAACCAGATGCAGATGCAACTTCAGAACCAGACTACGAACAGAGGACAGAACAGCTACATAGGTTCATACTGTGATGATTTATCTTTACGGTTAATTCTTTGTGATCTATGTTATAGTATAGTGCAATGCAGGTTCCTTCACTTACCGTGGCTACACTTGCATTTCAAATCTGACAGTATTTCCCCATTGAAATTAAAGGAAATGCCATTAATCCAGCCACCCCAATAAAATCAACAAAAATATTTAAGTTTTTTCTTTTTTAATTATAAAATAAGACTTTATTATTTAAAAAAAACAATAAAAAATTAACATCTCTGAAACATTTATTTGCTTTACAGAACATGTAAGAGGTTACATTTCATGAAAAAAAATTGAATGGCCTAAAATTTGAGCCTTCATGTTGTGCCATCACTATCAATAAGTACAGCAAGTTCCATTAAAATCCAAATCCGCTAGGTTACATTTTTCTTTTTTTGGCAGGGGGCGGGGGGGTGTCATTTGGCATGGAATGACCCCTTAGCTATGTTCCTGCTGGACTAGTAAATTGCTTTCAATGCTCAAATCGAAATGATATTGCTAATGTTAGCTGTCAGAACGTTGCGTGGTGGCAATAAATATCCATCAGCTTGATAGTTTGCAGTTCCACACTGACACGACCGGCCACGCAACAAACTGCAAAGTACTGTGTCAAGTTGATAAGACAACAAAGGTGACACACTGAATGCTGTTATCACATCCTTATTACAGATAACAGTTCACCTAGTGGTCTACAAACATGTACCCATTAACTGGCGCCCATCTGCCTGGATACGCTTGCTGATTGTGGCGCACCTTGCACATTTTCAGCCAGCAGCCCCGGCAGTGTGAGCCAACCGGTGGCCACCTTATCCTCCTCGCCTCCCAAGGTTCAGCCAGTGGCGATTCAGACTCCGCTCCAAGGATTGACCGCCGCCTCTCCTTTGCTGGCCACGACAGGAAGTCCGCCCGGTCCGACGCTCGCACCCCATGTCCAACAACTACCTGTAAGCATACACGACACTTGAAATCATCACTACTTGTTGCTAGAGTGGACACGTGGAAAAAGATAATCATAAATGTGTTTCTCAGGTGTTACTGCAACCCCAGTTTATCAAAGCTGAGTCTCTGTTGCTGACCACGCTGAAGCATGACCCCTGCATGGTCACCACCGTGGCCTCGCCCACATCGCTGGCCACGACCACGCCAGTACAGAGTGCGTCACTGCAGGTATAGAAATTCACAACATGTATAGAGCCAACTAGGCACATAGTAGGCTTGCAAGGTATACCAGTGCTCGAAAAGTGCCGTAATATCTCGCATGATAGCACATGTTTTGAGTACCAGTGACAAATGACAGTAACAGTATTCTGGTACTCTATATGGGCATGGTATCAAATACAAAGTCAGCATTTTGGTTTTGTGACAGCACTAGCACATGCACTGCTCGCTGTGTCTTTCATTTCAAAAAATCTAAGTGGTCGGGAATCGCTACGTTAAGCTAACCTACATGATTGAAGCGTTATCCGTTTAGTCCTGCTTTCTTAGCATAGAAGTCTCAAGATGTTAACGTCACAAATATAAAGTTCGTTCTGTGTATTCCAAGGCGTTTGTGGGCGGCGGCACCTTCCTGACGACTGTGCCGGTCATGGTGGATGCCGAGAAGCTGCCAATCAACCGCATCATCAACAACGGCAAGTCGGGCTCTTTTCCCGCCAAGGGGGAGAAGCGCACGGCCCACAACGCCATTGAGAAGCGCTACCGCTCGTCTATCAACGACAAAATCATCGAGCTCAAAGACTTGGTCGCAGGCACCGAAGCCAAGGTGGCTAACCTCATCCGTCTTACCGTCTCAACTTTACCGGTTAGATTTAAAGCCGCAGTAAGACTTAAGATATCTGATGAGAGTTTATTTGGGACATCGTTATCAGATACTTGGCCAATAAAAAAATGTATAAATGGTCACATCCGTATGACAAATAGATACATTGCATCTGGATTTTCCATTTCTGTCATATGCAGTATGGATGCGTATTAGTCAAGGTGCCAATATTGTACATCTGTACTTGATTCTAAAAAAAAACATGCTCTACCACACACCAACTGCATATTATACTGCATAAAAAGGATGATGAAAGTTATTTGGGGGCGGCATGGCTCAGTGGTGGAGTGGTCGTTTCCCAACACAGAGGTTAGAAAAGTGTTGTGTTACAGGGTACATGTAAGTGAAATGTGTGGCAAGATTGTTGGAGAAACATTTGAAAAAATTGGGCTTTTAATGTTGTGGAAAGAGTGCTATTTGTATGAAATCTATGGCATGTTCAAGAAAGGTTTCTGTTTTTGATAATAGTGTATTTGATTGAAAGGAAAACACATTTTCATTACATGTAATGGGACTTCAGTGCATCCCAATTAGTTTTATTTTATTTTTTAAATGAAGATATCCTAAAACTTTGCCTGAGCCGATTAAAATGTTGAGGCAAATATTCCTTGTTGAGTTGAAAAAAAATACTCCCAACAAGAAGTCAAGAGAGCTGGAAAATGCCATGCTCTGACCCAACAGTACAGTATTGATTTGTTTGATGTTATTGTTTCAGTATATTCACAATAATCGTTTTATCCCTTGTTTAATGTAGTATAGATTTTAAAAGGGATGTGTGGTCCTCCGCAGTCAGATGTGACTGGATTCTGGAGGAAAACCAGAGAATAATCTCTCGTGACTGACGTTAATTGTCGGTATCGTTTAAAAAAATGTATTCTTCTTTTGTGTGTCATAGCTCAATAAGTCAGCTGTGTTGAGGAAAGCCATCGACGTCATCCGTTTCCTGCAGAAATCCAATCAGAAGCTCAAACAGGAGAACTTGGCACTGAAAATGGCGGCTCAGAAAAACAGTATGCACTCGCCTTGCCCTTTCCCTGCACAAGATTCTTTTCTCGTTTCTCTGCAGTTTATAGCAGTTGACCTTTTTATAACGAACTCCGAGTGAGAAGGCTCGCCGAACAGCCTTCTTCATAAGGCCGACGCTTTTACTTCCCTGCGCCTGATTGCCCCTTGAACTTCTAATTTTGCCCTCATCTTTACTGTAGAGTCTCTCAAGGACCTGGTTGCCATGGAGGTGGACGGCCCGGCTGACGTGAAGACCGAGTTGCCCACACCGCCAGCGTCGGACGTGGGCTCGCCTTCATCCTTCTCGCATTGTGGGAGTGATTCGGAACCCGACAGCCCGATGGGAGAGGATACCAAGGTACGCTGACGCTCTCTGGTAGTACCTTGCAAGTTTACAAGCCAAAAGTTAACGTGCACGTGGGCTTCAGATACCCCACCGCTCAACTGAAGTGGAAAAAAAAAATTGAGCTAGTGTAATTCCCTGGCTTGTGGGCAAGGAGCGCCTCAGTTGCAGACACACTCTCAGCCTTTTATTAAAGTAGCCTTGTGACAGAGTTATGAAAGTTACAAGTCTTACGTTTTTTTATCTGTAAATCGATCACCCGGTCTCCATCTTCCCAGCCAAGTCAAAAATGGCTCTAAACTTCCTGTACTTTTTCAATAGTTGTTTTTTTTTTTTTTTTTTTAACTTGAATGCCTCTTTGTCTTCTTGCGTGCACCAGCCAAACGTGGGCATGCTGGACCCATCGGCGACAGGCAGCAGCGCTGGCGGCATGCTGGATCGTTCTCGCATGGCGCTGTGCGCTTTCACCTTCCTCTTCCTTTCCCTCAACCCCTTGGCCAACCTGCTCTGCTCATCCGGCAGCAGCACAGCGAGCAGCGCAGCCGTCGCCCCCCATCACGCAGGCAGGACCGTTCTGGGCTTGGACATTGCAGGTAAGAGAAGGAGACAACGACTATAACGTTATTTCAAGGGACTATTCAACTGCAGCCATTTGATCTTTTCTCTCTTTTGTGACACTCTTTGTAGTAAATTCAACATGAAAAACTAAGCTTGGTGTCTGGCTATTTACGGGAATGTTCTCTGCAGCGGACTCATGGGGCTGGATGGACTGGATGCTACCAACAATTTTGGTGTGGCTTCTGAACGGCATCTTGGTGTCGGGAGTTCTGATCCGCCTTCTGGTCTATGGAGAGCCGGTAACCAGACCTCATTCTGGATCATCCATCTTGTTCTGGAGGCACCGCAAGCAGGCTGATCTGGACTTGGCAAGAGTATGTATCGCTGCAGGAGATGAAATGGCTTTCTTGATCCTACAAAAAATCCTGTCATAAGATTGTGACTGTGAGAAATATTTCCACGCCAGACCCACAGTTGGTGGCCATGAATCGTTTATTAATTCTGTCTTTTGTTTCACAGGGGGATTTTGCCCAGGCCAGTCAGAACCTTTGGACTTGTCTCAAAGCTCTGGGACGTCCCTTACCCACCTCCCAGCTTGACTTGGCCTGTGCCTCGCTGTGGTCCTTGCTCAGATTCTGCCTTCAGCGCCTCTGGGTGGGCCGCTGGCTGGCTGCCCGGGCGGGTGGACTGCGATCTGACCGCCCCCTGCAGGAGGATGCTTGCAAGAGCAGCCGAGATGCTGCGCTGGTTTATCACCGCTTGCACCAGCTGCACATGACAGGTTGGCTCTAGAATACAGGGTGACTTCCCCTTTAAGAGCGCGTTTCTCAACTTGAAGGAAACAGATTGCAATTTTGATTATCCTGCCTTGTAACTTGACATGTAGGTAAGCTGAATGGTAGCCACCTTTCAGCCGTGCACATGGCTCTCAGCGCGGTGAACCTGGCAGAGTGCGCCGGCTCATGTCTGCCTGTCGCTTCGCTGGCTGAGGTGTACGTGTCTGCAGCGCTCCGAGTCAAAGCCAGCCTGCCAAGGATCCTGCACTTCACCTCTGTGAGTGCCCTTTAGTTGGCGCTCATTCGTTTAAGTCACGCTAATGTCACCAAATATTTTTCGCCAGGTTGCTTGTCACATTTTGTGTACCTTACAGTTTTTAAAGTGGAGTAGTCAGGATTTCTTAGAGACTAGTACAAACTGAACAACACAAACCAAAGCACAATTGATTGGCTATTAGTGTCAAAAGCTGTCGAGAAATAGTTGCAGTGGGTAATCCATTTGTTTTTATTCAGCGCGTGTTCCTGAGCAGTGCACGTCAGGCGTGCCTGTCATCCAGCGGCAGCGTGCCTCCAGCCATGCAGTGGCTCTGTCACCCTCTCGGCCACCGCTTCTTTGTGGACGGGGACTGGGCCATTCGCAGCATCCCGAAAGAGAGCATCTACAGCCAGGCGGGCAACACTGGTAAGAAGAGATGTGATTTGCATAGAGGGATGGGTGATGAATGGATTTTTGTCTTTCACAAACGACATGAACCATCCCGTTATTAAATTTTTGAACATTTAAAATGGGGGTGCGGCTTTTACATTTAAAAAAAAAAAAATTATCCCAACCATGAATCAAGTTATTAATGTTGCATTAATAAACAACAATGTCATACCAAAATATGCATGTGAGGTACATAGTATTTTTTGGGGGGTACTTGAAGGCCAAATTGCAAGGTCCTACCAACATGCAACGTTTTATGTTTATATTATGCGAAGTGGTATCTCATGCAAATGGTTTGTTGACACTCTTTGCAGTGGACCCTCTGGCTCAGGTGACGCAAGCCTTCAGAGAACACTTGCTGGAAAAGGCTCTTTACTGTGTCGCCCAGCCAAAAGGGGAGAAAAGCACCAGTCAGGGCGAGGGGTGAGCAAAGCACTCGGACCAGCTTTTCATACACTCACGATATCCTGTGTGGTTTGTGAAAAAAAGTATACAAGCAGCCACAACATGCTCATATCAATAAATCATAATCGATTACGAGAGCTGCATCAATTTACATGCATTTATAAAGGCAAGAATTTTTTTGGTATCAATATTTGATACAGCCTTTGGATTGGGTGTCCTTATGTTGTTGTGCAAGTGTTCCTAATGGACTGGCTTCTTGTTAAATATAAATGACAGTAAGTGTCCACTGGAGAATATGGCAAATATTATTTAGATAAAGTTATTAAAAAAAAAAGTACTGTCAATCAACCTATCTAGCTAAAAAAAAATGCTGTTTAAGATCTCCATTTCGGCAACATCTACAATGCAGAAAAAAAGTCATTTTCCACTCTTCTTTCCATGCATAAAAATACACACATATACTACCGATGGTCTGACGTGTGTTTGTTTGTGACCGATTTCTTGCTTTTCATTTTTTTATGTTTGACTTCATTGTTCATATCTGTCTTCAGAGAGTATGCGGATGCTCTGGAGTATCTGCAGCTACTGATTAGCGCTTCCGACGCAGCTGGTGCCACCTCCCAGTCCTTTGCTATCGGTTCCAACATGGCCACTGTGACGGGTAAATGACTTCTCCTGCTATGACTACAAATAATAAGACGGATAGCAAGAACACTATACTGCTATTGGCGCGAAGATACAGACCGAACCTAGCCGCGAATAGTGAAATTCCGCAAGTTAACTTTGCCTGTTGGTGCCACAAGATGGCAGCAAAGGACTACATTTTTTAAAAATCATTTTGCCCAGGAGTTGTATTTTACAAGAAAATAATTGTATCTTGCCGGACCAAAGAAACCATTATTGGCAATGGAGATAGTTTTTCGATATGTTGTGCAATCCGAGACACTGTCGAGAAAATGGATGGAAAATAAATTTTTATTGTCATAAACAAAACAGCGCTTTTACCATGTAATGTTAAAGTTTCTAGCTTCACTGTTCAAAAAAAAGAATTCCCCTCTTCTTCTTCACTCTTGCTTCCTGCTGTCTGTCACTACCTGGCCGCCGGTTCCATTTTGCCTTAAGTATTCCCAATAGAAGGCGAGAGATAACGTTGATTTTCACATTTCGGAGATTGAGCGGACTGATTTTCACCCTCCCACAGCTTCACTCTGTACTTGCTGATCGCTCATCTGAGGGGGGTAAAAAATGAGGGGGGCTCAGGGGAGGCTGGCGGGCCAAATGGGAGTCATCCGCTGGATTGCTTCATCTATCTTCAGGCCTGTCAAATCAGTGATCACCTTGAGCAGGGGGAGGGATGGACGGCGCGGCGGGGATTTTAATGGCAGCCTCTTCTTGGCACTGACTTAGTGTCGGCATCCGGCGCGTGTTGGCCCCGCGTCTAAATGAAGTACTTTGCTCTCATAACCGAGTCGTCAAAATGGTCTCTGGTCTCATCATGTTGTAAGTTTACCGGGGGGCTCTGACAGATTGATTCAGAGGTCAAACACAGACAGCAGATGTGTGTCGCCGCTGTCGTGCATATTAAATTCCACCCTGGGCGGTGAGTGACTCCAATGTCAGACCTTTCGCCATCATCGCGGTGAAGCACGCCGGTGGTGGCGGCATCTTGCTCCGAGATTGTTATGTGTTAGTCAAGGTGTCACTTATCAACAGTTCAAAATAGCAATTTTGCGACACCTGAAGAATTTCACCTTCCAGCAGGGACACAGAGTCCAAATGAACAAATGAAAGTCTCCACCAGAAAGAAATGAGTGTTTTGCGATGGAGGCATAGGTCAAGTCCAGTTGAAAATCTGTCATTGCACGCTGAAACATTGAAGGCATATGTGTAAGACTATTTTGAAGTGTTTGCTTCAGGTGTTTTTCTTTTTCAAATGAACTGTCTGAACGAGATGTCACGTTAGGTTTTTTTTTAAATATTATTTCTCATTTCATGTTTTTTTAACATGCAAAAAAAAACCTGGTACCATAACATCGGCGTGAGAAGTTTCCGTTTTTTTAGTAGTCAATAAAAGGCTAAATTAAATATATTTTTAAAATTGTTCATTTTCCAAAAATTATTTACAAAAAAAAAAGAACCATTTTCTCTCCTGTCATCTAGGCTGCGACCCCCACTCGAAATGGTGGTCCTCAGTCGCCGTGGTGATCATCAACTGGCTCCAAGGGGACGACGCGGCCGCGGAGAGGCTGTACCCAACCGTCGAGCATTTGCCGCGCACGCTGCAGAACGTGGAGTGAGTGGGTTGCGTCACGTCTCCCTCGGTCCCATGTCGCCGCCATCGACCACACTGACCTGCATTTTGTGTGTGTGTGTGTGCGCGCGCACCTCCTCTCACACTGTCAGGAGCCTGCTGCCCAAGGCTTGTCTCAACACCTTCCGAGCGGTGCGGGCTCTGCTGTCCAAGCCTGAAAACTGGCAGTTGAGTCTGAGCCACAGCGACAAGGCCAGCGCCCTGCTCCGAGACAGCCTCAACCCGGGCCCGCACTCCCACAGCTCCAGTTTAGACAAGGTACACACACTTACAAGCGTGCAAATTTGTTTCCCATGAAAGTTGTTGCTTATCACTCCCGAGAGGGCACTCTGCGTGTGTGCAAATGGCATCTGTCTTAAAAGTATAAAACATGCTCAAGCACGCACGCAAATACTCGGTGACAGATGTGCCTGCACATGGCCGTGCATTAAGTTGTAAACACGGGAAATTGCCTGGACAAATGCATCATCACTCACACACACACACACACACACACACACACACACACATACACCCTAAGTCACACACGTGCGCAGCAACTGGTGCACAGAATACATTTTTTTTTTTTTTTTTGGCCTGAGCTGTGGTGCATTGTAGTTGCATTGCATGTGTGTACGCTAAGTGCAATGTTCCTGCAGTGCAACACAGAGCTGAGCTTCCAACAGCCAATCACTTCAGAGGAACTCAACCCGCACATTTTTTTTTAAAGCAAGAAAACATTGGATGTGCCAGTACTCGCCCAAACAAGGTGCTCTGATTAATATTGCATTTGTGGAAGAAGAATTCAACCATATAATTAATGAGCGTATGGGTGGGTGTCTTGTTGGGAGAATTCGTTATCTGGTGCTTTCCGGAAGTGATGTCAACTGGAAAGTAAAAAAAGTTAGGTTCGGTAGATGTGGTTTGTTTATAATTACGTTATTGCAATGCTTCGGTGTCGAAGGAGGTGGTCAGCAACGTCAGCATGTTCGCATGCAGATTCGCGGAACCACTTCATCCTTACGAGGGTCGCGCGTGTGCTGGAGCCTATTCCAGCTGTCTTCGAGGAGTAGGTTCATTTTTGCCAATCCGTGCACATTTTCTCTGCAGGTGGTACAGTTGCTGCTGTGTGACTTGCTGTTGGTGATGAGGACCAACGTGTGGCATCTTCAGCAGCAGCAGGGGGCCAGTGCGGCTGGGCTCGGCCCGGTGGGTCCCGGCGCAGGCTCCGCGGGGCTCCACCAGGCCTCCCCGCCCGAGCTCCAAGGCTTTCAGCAGGACCTCAGCTCCTTACGCAAGCTGGCACAGAGTTTCAGACCCGCCATGCGAAGAGTATGTCCAAGTGCTCTTGGGTTTACTTTACCTTAATTTCTTTGGTTGTTAGCATATGTGATTCGCCAAAATAAAATACTGGATTGATTGACTTCAAAACAGTACAATTATGTCATCGGTAGAGTCCAAAACTATACCGTATGCCACATTTATACCATTTACTGCACACCCCTGCAGCATTTTCTGCTGGCTGGATTAAAAGTAGTGCTGTGAAGCGTTTTTAAAAAAGTTGTGAGATTAATTCAGCTCTGTAATTAATTGATCTAATTAATCGATATTTTAATCTCATCTAAACATTGCTGAGAAAACCCCAATTTTCATTTTAAATTCAATATGTTATTGAAGCAGATCAAAAGATTGACATCACAAAAAAAGTGGCATTTTAAAGCCTTAAACAGACTTGAACAGATGCAGTCCTGGCCATTTACCCTCTGCTGTATCTGAGACGAGTCCCAAGTCCTACCTGCAACCTTTAGGTTTTTTTTTTTTTTTTTTGTAAATCTCCAAATAATTACAAAATAAAAGGTCCATAAGAAGTGCTTAGGTTAACATATCAAAAACAATAAGGACACTTTTCTGAGCAATGCAAGTACTAAACACTGAGCTTGCTTCAGAAAATAAAAAAATAAATAGACAGACCCTTAAATCACAGTGCTGTAAGTTAGCACTTCAGAAATAACACTGTTCATCATTACAAAATAAAATGCTGAAATAAACATCAATCACTTCCAGTAGGCTACAGAGGACACATCAACTATGCCTCATGCATGGGGTGTTCTCGAGTTTAGTTTGCCGAAGAGCTTGCTATGGCTCGCTATATTGCTAACGCTTTTGATGCTAACGTTTGCTGTGGCTGCACTCGCGACTTGGTGCTTTGCATTGATGTGGTAGGCTAAACTTGAGCTGCTTTGGTGGTAAGCAAACTGCTTCTTACAAATTAGGCACCTTTATCAATAGTGCCGTCAGGGCGTTTTTCGTATGTACATTTTTCATTCGTTGGGCCGAGAACTCCTCATCGCTGCTTACCTGGCCCTCCCAACTCCAATGGGAGCCTATCAGCTTATTCTGAACAAGCCCAAACATAATGAAAGCCAATCAATGTCCGCTTCAGGCTGTAACTGCCCATTGTTTCCCCACCCGCAACAACTCGAACACAGGAAACCAAAACATAAAAAGAGATATTATAAAAAGGCAACCCACATACAGAAACAATAAAGTTAGACATTAAAATTTAGATTTACACGATTAAAAAACATAATGCACTGAATAGGATTGTAATTAATTATTTGCAATTAACGCGATAATACGACACCTTGAATTAAAAGCCATTTGGGCCAATGATTAACACATATTTCAGTATTCTGACAGCAGCGTACAAACAAGTCGCCCTGACCTGAGGGTTTTAAGTAATGTTCCTTCAAGGACGAGTTCACATGATGTTTGAGGACAGATTGTGTAAAAGTGTCGTTTTTTTGCTGAGCTGTCTGGTCACGCTCGCTTGCACGCACGCACACTGACACTGTTTAAGCTTAAGTGTTTTAAGTGTTTGGTAGCAGCGCTGCTGGCAAAGATGAACATTCAGTCTGAGTCACCGTTACTTGACTCATTTTGCTGCGTTCTCTCGTCCCCTCTCCAGTTGTTCCTTCACGAGGCCACAGCCAGGCTGATGGCGGGGGCCAGTCCCACGCGCACGCATCAGCTCCTGGACCGCTCGTTGCGACGCAGAGCCACACCCGGAACCAAGACAGGTGTGTTGCTTTCCTGATTAAAAAAACGATGATGTCACAAAATCGCTATCGTACCACAGCTTTTCATTGGCCCAAAGTTGAGGTAGGGAGGAGTACCTCCTTTGTTATGTTTGTTTTCTTAGCCATGAGTGCCCATATGCATGTACGGGTGTATGCATTTTTTAAAAATGACATATCATTTATGTGGATTGCCTGCTATTGGCTGGCAACCGGTTCAGGGTGTCCCCCGCCTACTGCCGGAAGACAGCTGGGATAGGCTCCAGCACCCCCCGCGACCCTAGTGAGGATAAAGCGGTTCGGAAAATGAATGAATGAATGAATGAATATATCATTTATCGTATCTTAAGTTGTGGATCCCAACAATACCCCAGTCCTCATCTTGACAAATGAAATTGAATGAATCCATTATTCAGTTGAATGTACAGCATCATAGCATTTGTAGCTAATACGACAAATGCCGTGAACGATGTGCTGTTCGCTAACTCAGGCAAGCTGGCGCCTTTTTGGCGACTTTCTCAAAACTCTTCATTTTGGCCATGTGAAGACTCCGCCACACAACATCGATAATCATTTGGAACACGCTGTGGATAGTATAGCTGCGGCAAGTGTTTCAGAATTCCCAATGGCTATCGCCGGATCTTGCCTTTTTTGTGTGACAGAAGAATGCGAGACGCGCCCGGGCCAACGCGAGCAGGCGGAAGCGGTGATGCTGGCGTGCCGCTACCTCCCCCCGTCCTTCCTATCAGCCCCCGGCCAGCGGGTGGGGATGCTGGCCGACGCCGCCCGCACGCTGGAGAAGCTGGGGGACAAGCGCACCCTCCACGACTGCCAGCAAATGATCATCAAGCTGGGCAGCGGCACCACTGTCACAAACAGCTAAGAGACCCCCCGGCCCCTTTCTCTCCCCCCCACCCAACCAACTGAAAATCACAAAACAAACCACAAGTTCTCATCTGAAAACTGACTTGCATTTCCCCACCTGGGCACTTTTTGGATGAGGTCGTGACATTTTTGGATTATGAGCACAATATAGGAAGCAGTTCTTCTCCCAGTGTGTCTGTCCTAGTGTGAGTCCAGTGCAGTGCCACAGTTTGACCTCAGAGAGGCGCCATCACATCCTCATTGCCATTGGACAGTGCAGTGTGAATGCCAAGCGCTTGTGTGCCAGTGAGTGAGCGAGTTTGTTCTTTTTATTTGCCCGGAGGAAAATGACCATATTTGGTCCACGTGCACTAGGCCCCCCCACCCCGCCGCCAGGCTGATTTCAAAGAGATGAGCGAACGACGCGATGGCTTTAAAAGGTGATTTTCATAGTGTTTGTTTTGACGTGTACATAGAATATTAATAATGTATTTATAATGGATTTTGATTCAGCAGTATTTGGCATACAAGAAACGCTTAATGCTTCCTCGGAAGGTTGCGCTGCCATGGCGATTGAGCGTCGGCAAGTCATCAAAGTGACATTTTTTGCGGGTGACTCAGTTGACCTTTCATAAAGCGCAGCATTTGTTGCTTTTTTTTCTTTTTTCTCTCTCTCCACGCAGCTACACAAAATAACTTTCCTTCCGAAGAGGACTTCTTCCTTGTTGTGGCTTCAATTTGAGGAGCACTTTGTCTTTCAGTGTTTTTAGGACCATGGATGCAGCTTAAAACTGTAACAAACAAAACAACAAAAAAAACTATTTTGGTATTTTTTTTCTGTTGCAGGAAGTGCATGTTTGTGGGTGACACACACACACATGGATAATATTTGTGGCTCATTGCATATTTTCATCGCCATGATCCATGTCGATAATAAAACAAGTTTTTAGAATGAATGAGAATGTTTTCTGTATGAAAATAGTTTCAAGTTTATGTATTCAGTCACAAATGTTTGGGGGAAAATAAGAATCAGGCTATTTGATTTAGAATTAAATTAATAAAAAAATCAGAAAATAAATTCTATTGTTTTGAAAATCAAAATGTACGTACATAGGTTTACAGACGCTTTATTATAATTGAAATGAAATCACAGTATCTTAATTTTTGAAAAATTTTTTTCAAAGTCACTTATGTTGGTCCGGTTAATCGTTTCAGATTGAAGGATGCGATTAAATGGAAATCTGAACAATAGCCCAATTTGTTTAATTTTCATCTGCGTGTTGAAGGTGGTGCGTTTTGAGAAAAGACAAACAAAAAAAAAAGGAAGGTTAGCTTTGAAAGGTGCTGGTATATTTCAACACTGGCGGTACAAAAACATGTCCAACAAAGCAATGCTGCGTCATCGAGTTCAAACATGAAAATAAATAATGGAAAACAAAACAAAAAAAAAACAAGCATGCTCCAAATTAACAGGTGACATTCCAAAAAGAGAACATATCTTCATCAATGGATTCTTTTAATAATTTATAAGCAATAACATATTCCATTTTATAGAAAATAAACATCTCTAGGAAATACTATACACAGTTATTATTAGTACAGCACAATTTACATTTAAACAGCATCAAATACTTATATACACCATGAAACAATGAGCTTCATAAAAGTTGAATGTTTGGCGTGGCGTTTTTTTTTTTTTTTCTTCACTCATTTATTTGTAACGCACTTGAATATGTCGCGCGGTCCGTCGCGATAGCGGACACCTTGTGCGTGTCATCACGCGCGGTGGCAGAGGCTACATCGGAGACCACGCGTGTGGCGTGGTTCTCGCAAAAACTGGATTCACACATCGTGAGCACAGGAATACGAGTTCAGAACTGTACAAAAGAGATGCGGTGAGACGACCCAAACCCGGTTGGACCCTTGGAGCCTTGCAATGTAAAGACAATGGCAGCTATTGAATATTTGTACCCTTTTTGTTTGTTTTTTTTTTTGGTCACCTGTTTTGTTTTTATACTATTTCCCAAGAACACAAAATCGGATGTCAACCAAGGATGGTGCCAAGGTGTGGTAAATACATATTAATATACACTTCAGAAGATAAGAGTGTTGTACAGTGGTGCCTTGAGATACGAGTTGAATTCGCTCCGTGAAGATGGAATGAGAAACACTCAAATAGTCTTTCCTCATTGAAATGAATGGAAATGTCATTAATCAGTTCCAGCTTCCTCAAATAAACCCCCCCAAAATGTAATGTGCTTTTGATTAAGGAAACTAGCACTCACTAATGTTATACTTAATAGAAAGACAGTAAAAACATAATTCAATAAAATGTAAAGAAACAATTTTGACAAGCTTTTTTTTTTGCTTTAATGGACATTGCATTTCTACTGGTGTCCCCGTTTTGGCCACCTGGAGGCAGTATAAGACAGACAGAAGTTGATACTGTTCATTGAAACTTCTCAACTCCTTTCAGCTCATCTGTGCAGCACTAATACTACTGGTAGTCATTCTTCACAGAGGAGCTGCCTTTACAGCAGCTCCTATATTTTGTTCTTCTACTTCTTCCTTTCATCACTTTGCTGCTGTGAATTGGGAATTTCTCCATGTGAGACTAATAAAGGTTTTCTTATCTTAAAAAATATGACAGTACTGTTTTATTGTCTGCCTGCAGATGTTGCCAAACTGTTCAACCACTTGCTGAAAAGATTCTAGCACCACAATGTGGATGGTCTTTCGCGTGAGCGTTAAGCTAGAGGACTGACAGGCTAAGCTTTGTGGTTGTTTTTTTTAGACAAGGTGTCATTCTTTTTATTTTGGAAGTCAACTACAACTTGGAGTAGCAATAAACAGCTTGAAGCATTTTTTTTGAAGCTTTGTCAACGATCTTAAAAGTGGCTGATATCTAAAACATTCGCAAATTGCATCACTTGTATCTCAAGGTGTCGCTGTCATCAAAACACTGCAATGATATTTTGAACCTGTGTAAGCGCATCATCATGTACAGTTTGGTGTCACATCCAGTGGCTCATTGTTGACATTTTGTGTTGTAGATGTACAGATATGCACAGTAGAGTGATGTTTAGGAAGATCACGTATACACACACACACACACACACGCACGCACGCACACACACACCTCTTTTGGCCAACACACAAAGTGGACAGATGGATGCGCCTGTCCAATCTCTGGCCGCCAGGTGTGGCAATATGATAGCAACCCATCGGAATGCCACACACACATTCGCATTTCAAACAGACCCCCTTCCCGGAGTGCCTCGGCTCCCAAATGCACGGTCCAGAACACATTCCGTTCCCGAGTCCTTGAGGAGTTGCTCTCTCCAGGAGCATTTTTCTCTCCTGTCTCTCAGAGTTCTCGCTCTCGCTTGCTGTCGGTGTCGGAGCGCCGCCTCAGGGAGCAGGGCCTGTCCGTCATCCTGTCCGTTTTTATAGGATTAGCTGGCTGTTAGGACAGCATTTATCTTTGCTTTGCTCCTGCGAGGTGGTCCACTCAGATATCTTACAAATCCTGTAGAGGGATGGAGGAGAAACGGGCGTGAATACAAGGCGCACACGCGGACTTGAGCGTTTTTGGGTTGGAGCACAGGTGTCAAAATCGAGACTTAGTGGCCAGATTCAAATATAATTACAGTGATCCCTCGCTCTCACGCGGTTCACTTTCCAGGGCTTCGCTGTTTCATGGATTTTTTTAGTGCAGTTTTTTTAATACTTTTAACCCTTTAAATCAGAACGCGTCACATGTTGACAGGACAGTATTTCCAAAAACTATTATAGTTATTTGTTGAAAACGTTTGTTTTTTGTAATTGGGCCTGAAAACAGGTTTTGGTCTTTGATTTCATTGTATATATTGTTAAGTATTGTGTAATAACTAAAAAAAAATAATGTTCACTACTTCACGGATTTCACTTATCACTGGTTCTTTTTGGAACGTATCCCCCGCGATAAACGAGGGATTACTGGATATCATTTTGTTCTCGATTTAGCGCAGTTTTCTGGCATGAAGTGAAGTGAAGCCCCCCCCCCCCCACTCCCAACCCAACATGAAGCACTGTCAACTGTCCCTCTTTAACCATCGAGGCAGAGTAGTAAAGTCGACTTGCCCGCTCGTCGATTATCCCTTCAACCCTATCCAGGTGTGTCTAATGAAGTGGCCGCTAATTGCGCGCGCTTGCCATTCATCTTGCAGATCCGCCAAACATGAAATGCGGTCGGCGTGAGATTCAGCGACCCAGCAGGAACGCCCACTAATTGCACCGATGTGTCGGCGGAGAGGCGCTTACTCCCCCCTCCCCCTCCCCTCCCCCTCCCCAACCTCAGCCTCCGTTATCCTCCTCTGCAACCCTTCCGGCGTCTCCTTCTCCTTCCCTCTTTCATTGCGTCGCCTCTTCTGATGTAACTGTCCCCATTTGTCTCTGGCGCCCACGCAAACAAGCCGTTTTCTGTCTTTCCTGCCTCTCTCTATATGCAACCAGCGTATAGGTGATCTGTTAATGAGCCTTGTGTTTGCACACTATGAGTCATTTAGCTGGGGGAGAAGCCGGCGTTTTTTTTTTTTTTTTTTTTTTTTTTTTTTTGCTATTTCACCTTTTATGTGTTTGTGTGTTCACAAGGCGACCCTTGGGTGTGGTGTTTGCAGGGGGGGCGGTGTTTGTGTGTGTGTGTGTGTGTGTGTGTGTGTGCTAGGCTCTTTGATTAGGTTTTGCAGCTTAAATTGGCACAGCACTGGCCTACACACACGCACGCACGCGCAGCCTCGCATCCCTCCACCGATGACAGCTCTGCCTCCTCCTGCTAACAACAAACCGCTCTCTTTCTTGCCCTCCCTTTTCCCTCCTCGCACTCCGCTGCCTTCTGCGGCTCAGACGTGGGAGTGGAGGTGAAGGGAGACGGCGGGGGGAGAAGTGAGGAGATAAGGGGAGGGGACGGATGAAAGCGGCATGACTGAAAATGGAAAAAAAAAAAAAAGGAGGCAGGAGCTGGTCGGGGATGAGAGGTGAACGCAACGAGCGAAAGCAGCAGGGGGGAGGTGAGGAGACGCCAAATAAGCCGAGCGAGGGAAGGAAAGAGAAACAAGACGAGAGAAGGGGAAGTGTGTGTTTGTGTGTAGCATGCGAGGCGCGTCGCAGGCAGTGATGGTGGGTGGGGTGTTTTGATCAAGAGCCAACGTTTCATCACTGTCAGTCTGCGCGCGGAGGAGAACAGAAACAGGAAGGAGGGAGGAATGGAAGGGAAGGGGAGGGGGAGGAGGGGAGGCGCTGCTGCCTCAATGCACCGATGCTCTCTGCTGAATGTCAGCCTCACACTCCTTCTCTACCCCCCCATCCCCCATCCCACTGCCTTTGACCTTCCTCTTTGAGTCTGCAGTGAGGGACAGAACACCAGCAGATGACGTCTGGCTGACAGCAAAGCCACCCGTCCATTCACCCATCCTGCCGGCGGTTATGAGGGCTCCCTCAAGTGGTACTCAAGAGTGCGCTATGTCGCGAAGTGCTTATGAACCACAGCATTTAACTCACCCGCGGCCGCGGATGTTTATGGTCGCCATTTGGAATCCGACCATTTACTGCCATCAGCGTGTGTCAGCTTGTCTTTGATATTCAGCTTTGTAAAGCACCGCCGTGACGAACGGATTTCCTGGTGATGGCGATGTCGCATCCCTTTGGATTTGAGATCAGCACAGGTTTCGAGTTGAAAGCTAAGATTAGGGTTCACTGTCATTTTGAGCCAGAGAAATGTTGGACAATTTTGGCATCCGACACTTGATCGTAGGGGCATGGGGGTGCAACTAACAATTATTTTAATAACACTAGTCAACAGCAAATTTTATTCAGAAATGGATTTATGTGCACTGAAATATATTTTTGACGCTGAGTTAAAAAAATGTCTTGAATTTTTTTTCTGGCAGATCCAGTTTTTGGGGATATTTGAATTTTTTTGTTTTAAAGTTTGACCTATAAAGGTTTGTGCAATATTGATTTTTATCATGCGTTGTAATTTATATGAAAACCTGATGTGCTGGACAGATTTTTATAAAAATAACTACTTGTATCTCTGATTAAATAAAATAGTCAAAAACAGTTGAGCAACGTAATCGACAGGTCTGCTGATGATTTTTTTGGGGTGGAATCCACCGTTTTTTTCAAATGCAGCACTTCAAATTGACACTGCAAAAAATGTACTCCAGTTTCCCACCACATGAATGAAGGCCAACCTGAGAGCTCTGACCTCAACCCCATCAAATCCCTTTGCGATGAACAAAAAACGAAATTGTGAGCCAGCCACAACAGCGGTGATGTCATTCTTTCATTTTCACTTCCTGTCTGCTCCTCGAGAAAAGTGCTTTGACATTTTCGATTGATGCTTGTTGTTATTTGGAGCCATTACAATAACAGTGAATGCGCTCAATTGAATGCCACACAATTCCGGGGCCGCAAGGGCACAGAATATAGCGACCACTTGAAAAGCGAAAAGAAGCCCCCCACCGGCTGGCGTACACGCGTAGTCGTGCAAGCTGGCTTTTGTTCCATGAGGAGCGCTAAAAAGACCGCAAAATGACGAGACGAGAAAGGGGGGGCACGCCGAGAAAAATCGAAGCCGTCCGCTCAAGTGCGCTTGTGGGAACAACAACCTCTTCATCCTTTTTTCGAATTCACACACGCCACGTTTTTGTGTGAGTGCTTGATAGCGCCTCTCCTCCGCTCAACCCCTCCCAGCCTTTCCTGAACGCATGACTCATGTTGGATGGCGTGGATTCGTGTTCTTTGTCTTTGGGGGTCTTCCTTACCTCATGTTTGGGACATTTGATGGAGAAGTCATCTTCGTGGAATGTGCAGCCTGTATAGTTCGGGAGAAAACAAAGACAAAAAGGGGGGAATGAGAACGACAATAGCAGCAAGTTTAGAGCCCGGCGCGATTAGCATCTGAAACAGAACAAGATTGGAAAAGAAGCACGGAGGAAGTGGAGAGGAAAGGAATGAGGCGAGGATGCGAGGGGATGAGTTGCAGGGAAGCAGCCCCGTCACGTGTGGCTGATGCATTCAGCGGGAGGGAAATGGGCCTTATGCTGTGACCCCCGTCACCCCTGCCCCAGGTGCCTTGGCAGACTTTTAAATCTTCATATTCTCAGCATGACGTAGTCTCTTAACATTAGGTACACCTGTGCAATATATCTCTCCATCCATCCATCCATTTTCAACACTATTTATCCTGAACAGGGTCGCGAGGAATTGCTGGAGCCTATCCCAGCTAAAGTCTGGCGGAAGGCAGATTACGCCCTGAACTGGTCGCCAGTCAGTCACAGGGCACATATAGCGACGAATGACCGTTCACAGCCACATTCACACCGCCACTGAGTGCGGTGTGTGCAATATAATACATAAAAGTGACATATAAAAATGGATTGTTTTTGACCCTAAAATATAAATAAGGCATCGAAAGAAGTGGAAATACAAATCATGGACCGTCTCGTATTTCTGTTCTCCTGGTCAATGTTGTTTGTGTGGAAAAACAATGAAATAGCTAAATCCATCCATTTTCACCAATGTCAGGGCCATTTTGTCCTCTACTGCCCCTTGCTATCGATTCAAATTGACGTCAAAGTGCCCTCGGGCCGACATTGCAAACGTCTCATGACCAAACCCTGAAAACAGATGAGCTATGACGTTCGTAATGGGAGCCCAACGACACACTGACGTCAATATCAGTCAAAAAGTGGAGGACCATACAGGACAAAATGGCAGCACCCTCAAATTGATGAAAATATCAAAATGAATCTGCTGATTCAACTCGAAAGAAGGGCTGTTTAATTTACTTTATTTTATGTTTACTTTGACAGCATGAGAACATCTCGAAGCCTCTTTTTGGAAGATTTGTTTACTATTTTCCAAACAGCTGATTGTTGTGTTTCAAATTTTTGCTCACAAGTCACATTAAAAATATCAATGAGCTGCAGAGAAGGATGGACAGCTTTTGTGACGCATGCTGACCTAAAACCTGCACATTCGGCCATCTTGGTTGCAGAATGAATGAACGACGAAAGCATTTGGATCCGCCCTTCCTTTCGCTATCTCCGGCTCGTGTTTCCCTCTCAAGCACTTCATCGTCCTACTCCTCCCACCATCATTGAAACCGTCCTCTTTCCTCCCCTTCCTCATCTCCTGTTTATCGCGCTCCTCTCACCAATGTCTCACTCTCATCTGCCAGCATTCGTCCCACCCCGCCCCGCTCAGCTCTTTTTTTTGAAGTCTCCGTCTTTTTGGGGGCAACTTTTTTGTCTCCCGCTGTGTTCTCTTACCTATCTCTTTGGCGCAGACGTAGTGGTATTTACGAGAGCAGCTTCTCCAACAGCAACTGAGGGACGCCCCCGCAATCTGGCACTTGTGGCAGCTCTGGGGTTAGTCAGATAGATGGACATATGGCCCCGGGACCAAGAAACAGAAAAAGTGACCAAGCACGTATAAGGATTAAAGAAAGGGAATAACAAGCAAAGGACAAAAGTTGGAAAGTTAGCCGAGATATCTCCAAAGCAGCTGCTCAGTGATGTGGTGAGATTTGCTCTCGTACCATTTGGGCTGAGATGTCGGCGGCTTCCTTCAGTCCGAATAATCGCCCGGCCACCATGATCACCCCCTTGGTCCAGATAGCACAGTTTTCATGAGCCCAGTGCTCATTGGCCTGTGCTTCTTCTCGCAGCCTTTGGAACAAACCCTCTTGGGTATCGGAAGGCCCGGCCTGGAGCTGCTTCATCCTCTTTAACCTCTCTCGAAGGGTTATTCTCCGTAGAACGCCCTTTCGACCCGTTCTTTCTTTTCTTTCCGCTCTTCGGGACGACCAATGGTGATGTCTGGCACTTCTGCCCTCTTGTGGCGATTCCTCCGTGTTTTCTGCTTTCTCGACGCCGGTCTCATTTTCAACTTTTGGTAATGTGCGTGGTTCTTCATTAACTTCATCTCGGTTGGTTTTCTCTAGGACTTCCCGTAGGGAGAGCGCGGCGGGTTCAGTGGTCAACAGCTTCCGAGGGACCGCGTCTTCCGTGTAGTATGGTCCGCACAGATCGCCCATGTCTCTGTAGTTGGATTCTTTTCCGCACAGGCAACATGTAAGACGCCTACTAGTTAGATGTGGATCGACCGTGGGTCCTTGCAGCATGGCGGCAGTGTGCGGCACTACTTTTGCAACCGTGAAAGGATTCTTCATTCGGAGAATTCCCTTTTTTCTCCGTCTTTGAAATACATGCATATCCTCGGGCTTGTTGACGATGGCACACCAAGAGGAAAAGTCTCTGGAGTTGTTCATTCGCACGTACGGACAGAAAGACAGAGGGTGTTGTTGGACCGGCTTGTTTCTGATTCTCTTTACCGAAATGGTCTCGGTCTGTTTTTTGGATATTGTCACCACAGGACCCACAATGTAATCTTTTTCCTCTTCACACGTGTCTATTTCTGTCTCCTGTTGTTGCCTCTCTACTTTTTCTGCTTCGCACCCCGCCGCCCTCACAACCGCTTCAATGACCTCCAAGGCATCTTTCATTCCCGGTTTTGGCCCGGGCTTTTTGTACACTTTCATTGGCTTGTCAGAAATCTCCTCGGATAAGGCTTTCCCTCGTTTCCGCTTAGCTGGATATGCAGATGCTTTTCTTCCTCTTCTCAGCGTCTGGATGACTTCTGCGCTGTCAACCTCAGGGCATTCTTTAATATCATCGGGACTTATTGGCAATGTGGGCATTTCCGAAGGGGTTATCATCTCCTCTACTATTCCGTCTTGTTGCTCCGTAACTTCAAGTTTGATCTCCTTTGCTGCTTCTGTTTCTTCTGCCGCAGACTGACCTTTTCGTTTCCTTTTCTGCTTTACGTGCATCTCGTGGTTGTTTTTGATGGCCCTCTGCTTGGCCGCTCTTGGGGTCGTCACTATTAGGTCTCCCGCTTCCAAGGCTACGGCAGAGGCGTCCGTACTCTCCACCATAGCCCAACGCTTCCTTTTTGAGGACTTGGTTGTGGCTAAATCTCCGGATACAAATGCTTTTGCTTGTTGGGTCCAGTCTCCTCGAGGACTGAGGTCTACCTGAGCCCCCATTGCTCTTTGGACTTTGCGCAGCGTTCCAGGTTGATGTTCTTGTATCGGCCCTTGGTCATTTCCATCCTCTTCTGACAGCTTTTGTCTCAACTCCTCTGACACTGGTGCTTCCTGACATATCTTCTGCTTGTCAGATTCTCGTTTGACCTCCTTTCTTGCGGCACCTTCGAGGTGTTTCACAACCTCCTGTCTGCTTTTCATTTCACTTTCCATCATTTCCGTGCCATTGACAGGAATAACCGTCTCTCCGTCTTTGACCGCGTGCGGAGAAAAGTCCTTCGTTGTTGCATCATCGTTGAGACTGATGTCTGTCTGAGACGTTTGGAGGTATTTCTTCGAGCTCGGTGATGTGATTTTCTGCACCATGGCTTCATATTTCTGTCCTCTGCCCTTACGTGGAGGGAGGACTTTTGTTCTGGTGGGGCACTGAGGAGGCACGACTGACACATCACCTGGATCGCTTTCGGTGGCATTAGAGGGAATATGTTTGGCTGGGTAGGTCCCCTCAGGCTCTTTCGTGGCTGGCCCTTTCTTTTTTCTGGGCCCCGGGACATCCGCCTCTTTCGGTGTGGAGACAACCCGCGCCAGCGGCGTGGCCTGGGATTTTGATTTAGGCTTTGGACCCCTCTTCTTCTTTACAGGCACCGTAGCGGGTTCCATGAATGACTGATATTTGAGTGGAAGCATCATCTTTTCTTCAGTATTTTCAGATGGAAGCAGTTCAGGAGGTTCAGTTGGAGTCTTTTTTACCATGTAAGGACTTGGAGTAAGACATTGTTCCTGAGCGAAACGGTCCTCTTTTATGGAACAATCAAGTGTGCCCGTTTCTGTCACTGCTGGTGTTAAATTATCTTTGTGTATTGGTTTCTCCTTTTCTTTTGATGATTTTGCCTGTGAAGGCTTTCTTGACCTCAAGGTCATGTTTTTATTGTCATTTTCTTGTGCTTTTATGACATTTGGTGACTTTTCGTCATGGTTTGTTACTTTGATATCCTGGTTTATTTGCGATAGCGTAGTCTTGATATTTTTTCTGCCCCTGCCCTGTGGCCCTGTCAAATGTAGAATGATTTCTTCTTGTTGTGTCTGCTTGGCCTGAGAAACTGAGCCTTTGGGGCGACCGACGGGGGACTTGATGGTTACGTTTTCACTGGGTGGCAATTCATCTTCAGATTTGAACGCAGGCTTTGGTCCTGTCTTTGAAACAGGTTTAGGCCCAAGTTTTAATGTCGGTTTTAAGCCTGGTTTGGGCCCTGGTTTTCGTTTCCCTCGAGACTCAATTTTCTCTGCTGGATCTGGTGTATTTGCCACAACCTTTTGTCCGGATTTAAGTCCTGGTTTTGGCCCGGGCTTTGGTCCGGGCTTTAGGGCAAGTTTAGGACTTGGTTTGCCTCCAGGTTTTGGCCCTGGCTTTGGTCCAGTTTTCAGTCCTGGTTTGGGTCCAGGTTTTGGGCCTGGTTTCCCCTTTAAATGAGCCTCGCCTTTGGGTGGTAAATCTGGCGCATTGAATGAACGTGTGCACATTCTTGAACTTAGTCCTTCAGTTAATATTTTGGTTGTCTGGCTCACTATTGATTCCTGATGAGCTAAGTCGGTTTGATCTGAGAACAACATAGTTTTGCTCAAAGGCCTGCAGGGCTTCTCTGAGGCCAGGGGGTCTCCTTCATCATCCTTCTCTTCATCCCTTTCCAAGCTTAGCTGTCGCCTGATTGCCATACCTGAAAGCATCAGTTTCCTTCTCCCCCTTGCATGCTTACGTCCAAATGCCCTGGGTTGACCAGATGGGGCCACAGGCTCTGGCTTGGCCAAGGGGGTCACGGCACTGGAGCAGCTGAGGCCCGGCTCCATGTCCTCATCACCTTTCTTTGGGGAGGGCGGTGTGTCCGCCCAGGAGGGGGCTGAGGGAAGTATTGACTTCCCGGGCAACTGAGGAGAGTCTGGCTCCAGCACTTTGGCGTCGCTGTGATCCATATGATCCCTGGACTGGGCTGGAGTTGGTGTTGTCTTGTCATTGAGAGCTGAGAAAACTGGCATAGCAGATTGGGGCTGCGGAGCGGTGTCACCGATGGCCGATTCTCTCGAAGAAGCATTCGGCGCTGCTGCCACATTTGGATGTGCAGGCACTCCCGCAAGCTCATTGTCACTATGGAACTCAGCTCTTTGAGTCTCTGTCTTGGTGCAAAGGTTGGCAGAAGGTTTCTCACAGCCGTGTCTGTTCATGAAATCAGAATTCAATGACTGGCTAATGTACTCCTCCTCCCCTAGTTCTCTTCTCACCTCATCAGACAGGGGCGGGGAAAGAGCATGTTGCTTTCTTTCATCGAATGTTTCTTGTCCATTGTTTTCCTCCTCCTTTTCCTCTTCTTCAATCAGTTGTTTGAGCTCTGTCTTCTCTGAATGTTCCTCTTCCAAGGCCTCAATTCGAGGGGTTGAAGAAGTGTTGTCTGAGCTGTCCTCCTTCTCTGTGGAATATTGATCCTGTTCAAGGTCACTCACAGGATTGAAAGGCAATGTTTTTAGCGAGCTCTCAGAAGCATCTGATGACTCTGATTTGTATGCCTCTTTTATCTCTTGGCCAAAATTGTGGCTTGAGTCAGAGCACGCAGCTGGGGACTGTTCAAGTGAATCAGGATCATATTTTCTCTGGACCCCTTCGTAGACTGTCTCCGCATAGCAAAAGTCTTTGTCTGCCCCACCTTTGTTTGCTTGGTTGTATAGAAATGAACATTTGTCCTCATCTGACCATTTTTCCTGTTTCTCTGTCAGATTAGTCACGTCAGTATCTCTTTCATAGTCAGGCGGTTTTGGCCTAGTTGCCACTTCTTTGTCAGCTGACTTCTCCGTCCATGCTGATTCTTCAAAGTTTTCTCTAACAGACTCATTGATCTGCTGTATGTCGGAAGATGAGTCGGTGTCCGGTTTAATAGGACTGGGAATGGTAATGCTGGTAGGAGACCTCCCCTCACTGTTGCTCTTGACCGGAGTGATATCTTCTCCTTGTACTGACTGACACGTAATTGGGTCAGGAGTAAAGTTGTGCAATCCCGAGTCTCCCGACCTGGTGGAGACATCATCTGGAGATGTCATGGAACAGGATGACATTGTGTCCACGTTAATATGTGTGTTGTTGGGAGGCTGAGCTGGACTTCTGCCCTGGTTTCTGTAGTAGTAGCCCCTCTCCAGTTGTTCATCACTACTGCTGGAGTAGCCTCCCTCGTGCAGTTCCATCAGCATCCGCTGATGTTGAACATTAGAGTAAAGGTCCTGCACTGGTCCTCCACTTAAACCACCAGTACTTTCTGGATATGTATTTTTGTACTCATCAGCCTTTTTGGAGGATGCTGCACTTCCAGAACTGCTGTTGCTTCCTCCACTGTTTCGTTTTGCATTTTTCTTGTTGGCCACCAGAGTCTCTGAAAGCAGCAACTGTTGGACGTTGTTGGATATGTTCTCGACCTGAGAGGTGAGGGCATTCAGGCTCCACAAGCTCGGGTTTGACAGCAGCTTCTCTGAGAAACGCTCTTTCATGCTAGGTCCTTGTAGTGTGCTTGTGAAGCTTTGGGGTGCTGCCTGGGGCACACTGGGTGATGGGTGTGAGCGTGGGGGCAACAGCATAGCATTGGACCCGCCTTGCTCTTGATGGCCCATGGAGGTGGATGATGACGACGAGGCCGGTCCTGGGGTGATGGGCGGTTGGCCGTACTGGAAGGACTCCGGATTGGTCATTAAAGGCGAAGGGGTGGAGCTGTATGAAGGGGAGCGTCCAACCGATCGTGCGGGAGAGTGGTTGGAGGAGGGACTGCAAGTTTGATAATACTGTTCAGGTGACCTCACAGCCAGTTCAGAGAGACAGTAGTTTGGTTGTGGTTGGCTGAAATGTTGGTATTTTGGGTGGGGTTCCTGGGGGCTGGTCATGGGTTGCAGAGGGGGCTGTGGCTCATAACCTCTCGAGTGTTGGTAGCTATAGCTATTCTGGGATGGCCTGTAGCCTCCTTGCTTCAGATTACTGTGGCTGCTCATTTGTCTGCCATACTGGGAGGTCGGCGTTATGCTATAACCTTTATAGCATGGGGGCATGGGGCTGCACTTTTCGATGTAAGGTGAAGGAGAGGGGGAAGGTTGGGGGTAGTGCAGGTGACTTTGTGGATACAATAAAGGTGAAGGGGAAGGGTTATTTGGGTGTGACTGGTGATGGGGGCTTGGGAATGAGGGGGCAGAGGGCTGATGGCACTGGGTCTGGGAGTGGCCCAGCATGTTCTGGTCCATGTACTGTGAGGAGTTAGGGCCAGGTGGACCTCCAGCCTCAATTCGGCTAACCATCTCATGCTCATACGATGTCAACTGAGATGGGTCTTCCCATTTCTGCTGGAGGTGTCCCCCGCTCATGTACTGGGCCGAGTATGTCCCAGAGCCCATGTGGTTACTGTAAGCACCATGACCCTGTAAATGTTGACCAGAACTTGTCGGAGGGAATTTAGGGATTTTCTTCTTAGCCTGCGAGGGTGCAGAGCCTCCGTTTGCGTTCCCGCCACCATTGACCGGGAAACCAGGGTAGGCTGGCTGGCTATAACAGTCCTTAGGTGCTCCTCCTGTCCCTGTTCCTGCGGCTGTAGACATACTTGTTGTGTTAACCAGCGAGCGGGCCTCATAGTTTGACCTTGAAAGCCCTGGACCCGGGCCTGGATGTGGACCAGGCCCCGGGTGGGGTAGCTGAGGGTGGGCATGATGCGTGTGTTGTCGGTACGTCTCCAGGCGTGATAATTCGTGGGGCTCCTGCTGGTAGCAGGGTTGGTTGCTGTGGTAACCACCAGCGCGCTCACGGAAGGACTGCATCACTCCCACCGTCTGAAAACAGAACAGGGAGGAGGGAGGTGAGATGGGAAAGGGGGATGGGGGGTAAGGGGTTCGGAAGACAGGGACAAGTGGTGGTGGTGGGGCGGGGGTGATAGAGATGTTCGTTAGAGACTGCAGTTTGACTTGGATGGTATAAAAAATGGATACATGGAGGATCGTTCAGTTACTTGACAAACAGTCAGACACAGTTTCAGACAACTTGAGTGATGCCGATACAAGAAATTCAATTGCAGCTTTGAGATCCAAATGCTCATTCAGGCTCACCGAACACTCAATTCGACAACGTCAGAAAAGACATGATGAATCGGTTATTCGACATAACAATATTAATAATAATTAATTATAGAACAACTAACAAATTCTGTCAGACCAGAGAGATAGCAGTTCAAATATTTAAATGGAATGTAAAGACTTCTGGATCCGTTGAAAGACTGTTTTGAATTACCGGTAGTAGACCTAATAAAGCGATGAATATCAGTGTGCCATGGATACATCTAAAATAAATCAAGATATAAACGTCCATGCGTTTATATGGAAATATTAACGATGAGGCACCATGTTAGCATTCTTCCGATTACAATTCCTCCTAACTTCATCATGTCTGTGCTGATCCACAAATTTAGACTATTTTCAAGCACAACTTTAAGATATTACAATCTATTATCTGACACTATGAATCTTTATTCCATGCTTTGTCAATGTCAACACTTTGTAACTACAGAAAGGTTTTTTTTCCTTGCCACAGAGATACCAACTCAAATTTCACCCAAAGCAACGTGGGACAGTTTTGTGGATGCACTTCGAGTTTAGCGGTAGTGGAATGCCTGCACTTGTTGCATTTAATTATTTTTTTGCTTTTTATTCCAGCAGAGTGCACATATGGCAATGTTTGTCTGCAAATGAGTGTGCCTTCTTCTTCTTACAAAGTATAAAAAGGGGTGGGGGGGGAATACAAGGGGTGGAGCTCTATAAGAGGAACACAAGGAGACGGAGTCACCTGGAGACGATAGCTCTCAGCTCAGTCTGTCAGCGTGTGTTTGACTGTGCGTGCCTGCCGCCACCTGCACAATATCCCAGCATGCAACCTGCCCCAGGGAGCACCGTGCGCGCCAGCAGATGCACGTTGGCATTATTCATGTCTGAAATAGACAATTTTGTGCGTGTGTGTGAGTATGTGTGTGTGCGTGTGTGCGCGTGTGTGGCAAAGCAGTGAGAATGAAAGACACATCACTCAATCTGCACTGACTGTGTGTGTGTGTGTGTGTGTGTATATATATATATATATATATATATATATATATATATGCCTTTGATAAGTTCAATGTGTTATATTTACTAAAATTTGCTGGCAACCAGTCCAGGTCCAAGGTGACCCTAATGGGTCCAAAAAGTGGATGATAATACAGTTTGAGTCATCACTGAATCTTTCATGAAAGTAAAGTATGGTATTTGTCTTCTTTTCAGAAAAAAATGACTCCATTTATGTGAGAACAGGCTTGGTTAATAAGGACCTTTGCAGAAAATTAAAGATAGAAAAGACATATGAAACTGAAAATAAATAAAATACAACCCCCCCCACCCCACAAAATTAACTAAAAACCTGTAAAAAAAAATTAAGTGAAGATGAAATGGGGGGAAAAATACAAATAAAAGTAAAAACAATTTAAATCAAATAAAGAAATGAGCAAAAATATAAAAGAATGATCATCTTTGACAAAGTAATTTGTGATTAAAAATACTATTTCAAACTGAAAGAAAATGAGAGAAAAACGGAGAAAATTAGGATTTTTAAAAAATGGAGAAATCCGAAAAGCGACATCAAAAAAGAGAAAAATTGGACGATGACGGTGATGAGAGTACAGTGGAGGTGCAGAGGATGATTTAACTAAAAGGGCTTTGCAATCGTGACTCTGGGGAAATATGAGCTTGCTGACCTGCCGTCATGTCTACGCACCCAAACAAACTACGTTCCTGCAGATGTAGCGTAATGCAATGCAACATGCTACGTTGCACACACTGGTACAATGAGGTGGGTTCCGTAATTAGCTTCACCTCCTGCTGGAAAACACGAAGTAGCTGATGTGTGTGTAAGTGACTGCTGTGGGCTGCGCACGCCTCACCACTTTGCGAGTCCACTGCGCCTCACGGGCACCCTAAAGCATTTACCTGCAGCTTTTGGGGCTAAAACGTACCAGCGATGACCTTTTTCAGACAGCCGATTTCCGTCTATAAGCGTACATCAATAAGCGGGCAAGCGGAGACGGCAAAGAAGCAAGAGAGGAGAAAATCCGATTGTTGAGCTGTATGCCTCATTATGCGCCGAGCTCTTGGCGCCTTCTTCGCCCTCTCTCCCTCGCTTTCATCGCATCATCTTCACAGGCACTTTGAGATGGGACTTATCTTCTTTTGCCACACACCCACCAACACAAAAGCTGACCTTAAAGCAGGTCTGTGCATGAAATGTAATGACGTCCGTGGCAGGGCTGTGCATTCGGGGGGTTGGGGGGGGGCAAGTCGACATGAGGGATCGTCGCCATCCTCGCAGAGCGGAGGGATGCAACGTGGCGCTGTGTGTTTACCTCCCCAGTCGTCCTTGTTAGATATGCGTGCAGACGCAGCTTCTTCTAGCGAGGAGGGGGAGCTAACACACACACACACACACACACACACACACACACACACACACACACACACACACACACACACACACACACACACAAAAAAAAAAAACGAGACGCTCCCCCCCCCCAACCCCCCA